CTTTCCTTTCTGTGAAATGAGTTTCAGAATTCTGATCCAGAAATAAAAGAAAGTAGGGTAAGTTTAAAAAAGGAAGAGGATTGTTTTTAAAATGTTTCTAATTTGATAAGAGCAGCAACAAAGAAACACTGAGAAAGTAAATAAAGAAGGGAGGAAAAATAATAAAAGGACCAAGCAACCTCCCTCACTGGAAGAATCGTAGAGAGACAAGTTTCTGGGATAGAATGATTCCAGTTGTTCAAAGTAATTGTTCATTATTTTAATTCCAACATTAATGACTCAGTTCTCTCTCTGTAGATGGGAACTTCTATTTCTTCTGCGAACTATTTCCTTTAACTTTTCCATACAATTCCACATATCTGTTTCATATTATTCTGGAATAGCTTTTTCCCCAACCCCTGTTGCTTGGTAATGAACACAGAAGGCAAAAGGTGTTACATTCAGACTTTCCTAGCCAGCAATTAACAAGTCACCTTTGAGATTCTCCGGCCGGGGGGGGGCATGTGTCTGCTGGCTTGGGCCATGCTCGAGAATTCCAGTGGGGACTTGGTAATTGCAGGCTAGAAACAACTGAATGTGACACCCTTTACATAATAAAGCAATAGGATTTTGGCTTCTGAATCTTATTAATAGACTTGTTTTATAACTTTTTATCTTCTAAGTGTTTAAGAAGAATCCTTAAAGCATCATTATCTTTAAGATTTGAGGTCATTGCACAAATCTGCTGCCCCCCCCCCCTGTCTACATTACTTTAATTCACTTTCTCCTCACTGTTGTTGCCATCTCTCATTAACTTGTCCTGCTGCTTTCTTTGTCCACACACTGGGTTCTTTTCAAGTATTGGAAGAAACCAATCATAGAATCCCAAGAGTACATGTTGGAAGAAACGTCAGGGGTCACCTGGTCTAATCCCCAGTGATTAGACCAGAAGCACGCTTTTGATGAAACACTGAGCTGATGCAAGTGTTTTTTTTTTTTTTTAAAAAGGGACCCTCTGGGGGAAAAAAAGGCCTCTCATCTCATCTCTATGAAAGTGTTTTTTTTTTTTTTTTTAATGGCTGGGTGTGAATTAGAATTATTTCCCAAGCCTTAGTGCTTCATTTCTAGGATCCAGTTGAGATTGGGCATCTTCAGGGTGATATAACCACCCATTTATTTGGGAATAAGGCTCAGAAAATCAGTGGGACTTATTTCTGTGGGAACTCTCATAGAGAGGTTCACGGGCAGACCACTTTCCAAAGACCTTCCTTCACCCCTTTCTCTTATAAACGGAACTCTCTTTGATTGAGAATTATTAAAGAAGTACCCTTGAAATTGTGAGAAAGAGTGGGGATTTTCAGGGGCCGTTCCTTTACTGGAGGAGCCGAGACAGCCCCTTACAAGCTTCCTTCTTGGGAGTTGTGTCTTTTTTTTTGCCAGCCCCCTTCTCAGTTGCTCCGCGTTTCCACCGTTTTCAGCTGCACCGTAGGGTATATCTGCTGCACTCTGGACCTTGGGTGAACTGGAGACCGGTATTGATGGCGAAGACCCCAGAGCCCTGTGCCCACGGATTGGGTGTCAGCGGGACAAAGGGATGGCGCCAACCAGCCTGCCGTGTGCGCCAGTCGCAAGAATTAATTACAAACCAATCGAATCCGTCGCAGCCAATTGGAAAACTAATTGGTAATTTTAGCTGTACATCTATATGTAGTTATCTGGAGGCCTGCAGCAAAAGAGCCCACTTTTGTTTGGAGGCCTCCTGCTTGACAGAATGGCCTTCATGGCTGCAGGGGGGGGAAAGATGTGCATCAGTGGCCCGGGGGGGGGGCTGCGCTCCGGCTGCTTGTCTTGTTTGTATTCCCTTGTTCATCAAACAGGGCTCGGATTACAAGCTGTACGGTACTTGCCCCGATGATTTTGGATAACGGCAGAGCCGCGCATTCCTTGCCAAAGGCTCTTTCAAACCACGGACTGTAATTTTTGTACGTCAGCCAGCCCTAGACATCCTAGAATCGTAGAACCGTGGAGTTGGGAGGGGTCTCTGAGGCCATCCAGTCCAACCCCCCACCCTGCTCAAGGCAGGAATCCAAATCAAAACAGATTGTTCAGAGGGTGGTCCCATTTTCTCTTGAAGGCCTCCAGGGTTGAAGGGCTCACCGCCTGGCGAGAGAAATGGTTCCGTTTTCGTACTGCACAAACGGTTAGTAAGTTTTTCCAGATATTCGGATGAAATCTGGCTTCTTGTAGTTTGAGCCCATTGATGCGTGTCCTGCACTCTGGGATGATCAAGAACAGATCCTGCCCCTCCTCTGTATGACTGCCTTTCATGTATTTGAAAAGTGTTGCCCTGTCACTCCTCTGTCTCCTTTTCTCATGGCTAAACATGCCCAGTTCTTTCAATATTTCCTCCTAGGGCTTGGTTTCTGGTCCCCTGATCATTCTTGTTGCTCTCCTCCGAACTCGTTCCAGTTTGTCAGCATCCTTCTTTAAACCGTAGTGTTCAGAACAGGACACAGTACTCTAGATGAATAGAAGATTAGATGAATAGTGATGAATAGAAGGGGACTAGTATCTCACAGGATCTGGAGACTTTATTTCTGTTAATGCGGCCTAAAATCACATTTGGCTTTTTTTGCACCCACGTCACACTGTTGGTCATATTCAGCTTTTGATCTTCAACAATTCCAAGATCCTTCTCGCTTGTAATATTACTGATGCGGTAATAATATGTGGGGATTGGGCTACTTAACCAAATCGTATCTTCTGTGTGATTCCTTCCATGCGGTCTGAGCCATGTCCTGCAGTCATTGCGAAGATGATAATTCAACACAAAGACTTTGCTTGTCATTGACAAAATTGAGACTGGATACAAGTCTTTATTTTTTGGGGGGAAAAAAGATTTGGTACCTTTGGTTTGATCCGTCTTGAGAGGCTTTTTAAAAAAAGTATTTTATTATTTTTTATGACATACATATCTACAACAAACAACAACAGAAATAGCTACAAAACAATAACACATGAAACTAACAAAACATACAAGACTAACAAAACAAACATATAGGCGGGGAGGGATTTCTCATACCAGCTTATCTACTATATTAACTCTGACTACAGAAGTCATATATCCGTGTGCATCTGCACATGTTATATTCCACATCACTATTTTATATATCTAATTAAGCATCTAAACATCCTATATTTATAATAATTTTTTAAAATTCTCTCATCTGCATTTCCATCCATCTGTCTCTCATCATATCTATCATAATATCCTCACAGGCCTATTCATTCCTTGATGATCTCCATTCTTATATACAGAAAACTATGTATCTCATCTTTTCAGCATAATCATTCTCATGGTTCTCGCACATTTGATATTTCCACATACATGCCTTAAAGCAAAACATCCAATATTATTATTCATCATCATTTCTAAAATTCATAAATCACATACGGTTGTCTAACCTCGTCTTGAGAGGCTTTTGAAGAGAAGTTGTACAACCCTCTGCCCAAGGTTGCTGTAGATTTTCTGTGTTGCATAGCAGTAAGGATGAATCAGAAGGACCTTGAAGTTCTCATGACATGAGATGACTGAGACGTATCCTCTTTCTCTACCATTGGAACCATTTTGGTTTTTGTTACCACACAAATGTGATGTGGGGACGCAGGTCACGCATTGACTAAAGTAGTACGGGAAGACCCTTGTGTCTGTGGGGGATTGGTTCCAAGTCCCCACCTCCCAATAGTGGTATTGGATATTATTAATTTGCCTGTTAGCTATGTTTTAATTTTTGGTTTGGACTGTGACCTGTTGAACTGATAGCGTCATGGTAATACTTCATGGAGTGGGGAACTGTTGGCCCTCACTATCCACTCTCAGTGCCTCTCGCCATTGGCCATACAGGGTGGGACTTAGATTTGGAGTCTAGTAACCCTCTGTTTCCCACATATTTTAATATGCTGTACTGTCTATTATGTATTATGGCTATTGTGCTACTATTGTGTGTATTTTTTGAGAATCACTTTGAGTCTATTTTAAAAATACAGTATATGTATAAATTGATAATATGTGTGTGTCTATGCATTCTGTTCCGTCAAGTCGGAATCAACTTTTAGCAACCCTAGTAGGGCTTTCAAAATAAGCAAGATGTTTAAGGAGTGCTTTTCCCAGTTCCACTCCTACAGTGAATTTCCAGGGCCAAATGGGGATTCGAACCCTGTTCTCCAGAGTCCTAGCCTGTCACTCTATCCACTAACCCTACACAGGGAATCATGACAACATATGACAGTGCATATATTAAAGAACTGTGTCTTTTTTTTTTTAATGGAAGCCCTCACCCCAAATTTCAGATTTTGTTTCTCCAATTCCCATTCGCTTCTCCCAGTCCTTGTGAACGCCTTTCAGAGGGGAGACTTCCTGAATCCAGTCTTCATGGCCTGAGAAGGAGGTCTCATGCCGCCAAGGCTGGCACCTGTGACAGGTGTTTCCTGGATGCTTTTTTTGGGGTGACCCTGATTTTGATCGTATTTGCCAACCCATCTGCCCAATGACAACTTTAAATGGGACCCAGAGGTTGGGAGTTTGATTCCCCGCTGTGTCTCCTTGAAAGGGGCTGGACTCCATGATCCGTAGGGTCCCTTCCAGCTGTGCAGTTCCAAGAGGATGATGATGATTAACCAAATGGCGTTCTTCCCACCATCGGATCCCATTTACATTTTCCAACTGCTGACCGATGGGCACTCTGAGGCTGCCGCTGGAGAGAGCTTGCCAGTGCAGCAACTGATCCGATGATCTGTTGCCAGAACCGAAGACCAATGGCAGTGTGTGAAAAATCTTGACGGGCAGTTATCAGCCCTGCTTATCAAAGGCCATTTGCGACACCCTGGGCTCTCTGGCTCTGCTCCCCATTGCAAAGTTTGTAAAAGCTGATTTCTTCCTCGGCAGGGACTCTGTGGTTGCTTTTCCAGGGCCGTTGTGTTTTTTTCATTTTGTTCTGCAAACTGTTCTTTTCTCATGGCAGGAGGTCCTGATGATGCTAGATAACTACGTGCGGGATTTCAAGGCTTTGATTGACTGGATACAGCTGCAGGAGAAGCTGGAGAAGGCCGATGCTCAAAGCAGGTAATCAGAAATATAAAGGTTTCCCTCTACCATTTATTTGCACACTCAGAAGTTTTGTTTTGAAGTCGTAGACCTCTGCCGTCACTTGCTGGCAGAGGGATAAGTGATGTGTGTGTTGGAGGACGTTACAGCTCTTTTAGTTCTCTGAAAGATTATGGGCTTTCTTGATCATGGAACCTCAGATATGGAACCATCTTCTCTTAGAGACATAGTTGTACCCTCACCATTATGATCCTTCAGTTAAAACAAAAGACTTGTACAATCTTTCAGGGAAGGAACAAACTCCTTAATGCCTGCCACTGATGCTTGTTTGTATTGCTTTTAATGCACTTTTAATGGCATTTACAGCTGGCGATTTTGGGGATTTCGGTAACTTGTGATCTTCAGGGTTGCCACTTTCGGGAAAGTCAGGAAAATGGAAATTGGTCTGAAGTTGGGGAAATTGTGATTGAAATATATTCAAGCAGTGGATTTTTGACCTGCTGCTGCAAGAGCATGATCTTTTCTTGTGGCAACTGTGTAGGTGCATGTCATCTGTGGTTTTAGATGGGTGTGTTTTTGTAGCTGATGAAGTTGCCCCGAGCTTTTGGGAAGGTGGCTGGAATCCAACTCAAAGAAAGGATGGTTTTTTGGTGGAGCTGATACTGGTGGGAGACAGGTTTCCAAAGCTTTGCTCTGATCCAGCTAGGCTGTTCCTCTCGGGCTTCTCTGAGATGAGAATTGGCAATAAATAGCAGCCAAAGCTTTTCTTCCTGAGTGTTCCCAAGGCAGCAGAGTTGGATGTTGAGAATGTAAGAACCTTACACAAATAGGCACATCCCAAGGGCAGGGAGGGAGTAAAAACGGAGTGATCAGCTATGTGGCCAAAGGGTAAGCGAGATAGCTTGTCTGAATTTAATTGCAGGCAAAGTAAGGCTATCAATTCCTCTTTTTTGCTTAGTATTCTTTCTTTAATATCCAGGCCTACTTCGCTTGCATGGGAGGTAAAGAAGATGTCTCCAGGGCGCCACGTCATTCCAAGCCCATCAACGGATAGAATCAGTGTCACATCAAACGCTCGAAGGAGTCTAAATTTTGGGTATGCAAGCTAAACCTCCTTTATGATTTCAAGGGTGAAAATCCTGATGTTTTTCAGAAGACCTGCTCATTGGTCCCGGTTGCCAGCAGCAGAAGCTTTCCTTGGCTTATCTTGGTTCATCTTACAATGGAGGAAAACTGGGAAATGCCTACTTCTAAGATTTTAATTCCCTATTATGTTAAGTGTTCTATATTCCTCACGATTCTGTTAGCTGAACGTAAGTCTGCAATTGGCGTCATGCAACAAAATGACTGAAGTCCTGTTACGCCATCAGCATAACTTTTAGATACTGATAAGCCCTATGTTAAGAAATTTCATCTGTTGCATACGGAGTTGGCCGATTCCATGTGCAACATATAATGCTTACGGGGATTTCTTAACTCACGTCAATTTACTTCCACAAGTTATGTTGTTTGCATAGCCCCATAATAAGATTCCAGCCATTGAGTGAAATAGCTAAAGGTTTATTTCTGGAATACAAGGGGGGGAAACAGGTACGTCGTTGCCACATTCATAGCATGTGCACAAACAGAGCTCAAAAGATTCCTTCTTACAGGCCACAACTCCTAGAAGTCTTTGGGCAGAATGAGCAGTTGTGTGTCATCTGTGTTGAGATGGGATCTGAAAGTGTATCTTGTGTTGCTAAAGGTGCTTCACACACAATGTTAAAGTTGGGTGTGCTTGTTCTGATGAGCTGCTAGTAGGCAGAGGCAGATACATTTGATGCTGAATGGATTATAGGCTGGATCCAGCATGCGGGAGGAATCTAGGTGCACTAAGGAGGGAGGTACCCCCTTCACCCCACATAGGTGTGTTTCCCTTCAGGCTTTCTTTGTGCTGGACAACCCAGGTTCTAGCAGAAATGAGGCCACTGGAGGTTCAAAGAAAGGCATTCCCCGCTCCCATGTCTTTAGCTGACAGTGAGTATTTTGGTGCTGCCCAGTTATTGAGACTGGAGGGGTTTTTTGCCCCCTTAGGGTTTTTTTTTTAAAAAAAGAAGTGTTCCCCCCCCCCCATGAGGTTTTCCTTCTCCGGTTTCCCAGTGGTCCTGTTATGTCTCCATTGCTGTCAGCACTACCCACCTGAATTGGTCAGCAAAAGGAGTGCTATTTATTTTAGATCCCATTAATAACACTACTGAGAGCGGAGGAGATGCTCTGGAGAAGCAAAGCTGGACCAAGCTTCAGTGTGAGAAGCAGAGAGTGTTCACCTTTTCTTGGGGTCAGTTTGCCGGGAGAAGCCAGGTGGAAAAATAAGTCATAGGAAGAGGCTATAAGTATTGGAATTAAAGACAAAGTTTGGCCTGCCTCCAGACCTTTGTTTTCCAACAGTGCTAGGCAACATTCCCCAGAATTTAATCTTTGTGGCTCTCTGTGGCTCTCACTGTTTCTTGACAGCTGGATAAAATTGCCTTGTTTGGATTGCTAAAACAACTGTGTGAGTACATACAACTCAAACTTTTAGGGCAATGTTATGGGCTTGGGCATTTATGACCACTTGTGTTGTCTTGGAGTGGTGCCCCTGAGTACACTGAATCAGCGGAAGCCAAAAAGTGAAAGAATACAGAGGACATATCACACTTTCTAATGACATTGTTGGATGTTATATTCCCCCCTCCCTGCTTAGGACTCAACCTGTGGCGGTGACTGTTAATCGCCTGGCTCCTGCAGGGGTCAGTTGGGCGGACAAGGTAAAAGCAAGCCACACCGCTGGAGCACCCAATTCCGAGATGCTAATGACCCAAGCCGGTCTGCCACCCCCAGCGCAGAAGCCTTCCCGGAGAAACGGCAAGTACCTAAGTGGGTTGATTTCTTTCAGTTGGGTTGAGAAACTATTGGCTTAAAAGTGGAATATGCTAGGAGAAACGTTCATGTTCGTTAGTGATTAGTGTCATTCATGGCATGTGTTTGTCCATAATAGTAGAAGCAAGGACTTTAGCTCTTTAAACAGCTTCAGTGTCCTTCCCATCATCCCTCTCTACTATCTGTGCTTGCTGGGGTTGTTAGGCGTTGAAGTCCAACATCATATAGGGAAACTCCCTGCCTTCAGAGCTAAAAAACCTGGTTTATTTAGGAGAATTTAAAAGCTGTCACCAGCACCGCTTAAATAATTCAGGTTGGAGAGCTTTGTTAGCACGGTCTTGCTGGATTGTCAAAAGTCTTCTGGCAGTTTTAAGAAGACCAACGGATTTACGGTTGCATAAACTCTAGTCCACTTGTTTTTATATGCTGTAATAAATCCCTTAGTTTTAAAGGTATCACAGGACCCTTTGCTGCTTTCTCTCTAACTATGAGTGATGGTCAACCTGGCGAAACAAAAACAAGTTGGAACAGTATTGCTTTTTGAAAAGAAAAGAAAGCCAGCTTTGTTTGACCCTCCCCCCTTTTAAAGATATATGTATGTTTAAAGTGTATTGTCACAATTTTTTTGTGTGTATCGCCAGGGACACTGGGAGTACCATTTTTAAAAACAGAAAAACTCAAAAGAAAGTGTTGGATTTCGCAGATATGGAACTGGGTCAGTGCCCCCCCCCACAAGAGCAGCATTTAGCCAGGATTGTTGGGGCTGGTAGTGCAGGACAGACAAGAAATGTACAGAGAATTGGGTTAAAAAGAACAACGTTAAAAGTGATAATCCTTTCTTCATTTTATATCAGTTTTCCCCAACCTTGGGTAACTTCGGTGTTCTTGGGACTGCAGTTCCCAGAAGCCGTCACCACCAGCTGGGCTGACCAGGGTTTCTGGGAGTTGTAGTCCAAAAACACCTGGCTCATCCAAGGTTGGGAACCACTGTTTCATATTAACGACCTAATAGAACGGAGGTCCACCTAATCAACAGCCTTCCTATGAATGCATACATGATGGCATCTGGTTGTAGGCATCTCGAAGAGGACCTTGGACGCTGTCCATTTTTATCTATATTGGAGGAAGTTCATCAGTTGAACATTGTATTTTTCAGCTTTCTGTTTGATTTGGGTTGTTTGAATGCTTGTTTTGGTTCCAAGTGTAAAAATGACATCAGGGAAGAAATTACAGGAATATTACCGCATCTATCAAGTAATAATTTATTTCCCCAGAGGAGAATTTATTGCACTGTAAAGATCTGTAGTCCCTGGTGGGAACTACATGCTTTCTCCCTTCTCTTTAATATGCTTTTTTATTTTTGTGTGTGTCATGTATATTTATGTCTCTTGGTTTTGCTTTATTTTCCACTGCTAGGCTGGTACCTGAGAAACCAGATTTAAAACTGTTTCTTACTAATCCCTCATTGCAGTGTTTTATTTTGTAATGTTGGGTTTTATTTTTCTGCTGCCCTTTTGTGCTTATGCCTTGGGAGAGCCTTTTTTGGCAACCAGGCAACGTAAATCAAATCGCGTTCTTGAGATTTGCAAGGATGTATTCAACAAAACAAAACCTTGCTTGATGGTCATACTTAAGGCAGGCCTCTTGTGTGTATTATTTAGTGATTCACAAATAATGTGCTGCTTCGATTCCAGCAAAAGTGACAGCTTAAAGTGAACCAAATGCAAGGATTTGTGGATTTCTACTTCTCAACCTGCTGGTCAGGATCCAGAACAGTGAGAATAGTGTCCCACTCACATACTGGGGCTTCTCGGCTCTTTTCTGTAGTAGCAGCCTTGTTGCACCAGCAAAAAAAAGTCTGCCCAGTAACATCCAGTGAGATTTGGGAAGTGGCTGGCCAATGAAATGGGTTCGGTCTTCCTTTCCCACGTGTGGGTTGGGAAACTGAGGTTGTTTGGATCCTGGCCACTGTGTGGGTTGCAGAGTGTGTAATACTGAATAATAATTTAAATGACTAGCTTTTCAGTACAGTCCTGTACCTCTCTAGGCAAAAGTACATCAGCAAGCCTAGGGGAACTGGGTACAGGATTGTAGCCTAAGCCATAAATTAAGAACTGTTGCTCTACTTTCCACTCCTTGATCAAGCTAAAGTTGGCAAACTAGACCATTGCCCATTTGCAACGACCAGCCTACCTACCAGTGGAGGACACTGTTATTCTTCATAGCCCTACCCTAAAGTATTCTGACCAAATGGCAGGAGGCTGTTTTAAGTATAAATACGAGCTATCTTAGAGTAGACCACATGGAATTGCAGCACTTTTTGGTGTGCTTTATGGACAGCTTACATATGGGTTTTTGTTTTGTCTTGCTAATGTTGTTGATAAGGTTTCGGGCTGGTTCTTCCAGATGGAGTCACTTTAGAAGAAGTTGAAGTCCTCAGTGGCTTCCCAGGGGTGGAGCCGGGGACCGAGAGGCCTCCTGATAACAGATGGTTTGTCACTTCCATGTAATACAAGAGGAAGCTGAGAGTGGGAGGCTCAGATGTGATTAGGGAATTGCCAGAATAGCCCCATGAATTATTCATGGCAAAACCTGGGCAAGTAACCAAACCCAGCTTGCGATATCAAGTGTAGGGTTGTTTGTAGAGAGCGAGTCACGATTTAGAAACACATAATAGTAAGAAAACAATACTTGGTCTTTCAGGACACACCTCCACCCTGCTAGTGCATATATTAACAGCACCCCCAGGACAGAGTGGCAGGATGGTGCCCAACTCCAAATGTGCCGAATTTCATCTCACTTTGAGAGCTAAACAGTCTTGGTTTATACTCGGATGGGAGACCCCCTAAGAATGCCAGGAGCCTCCATTGGGTTTAAACCAAACCCTGCCTGAAACGCCTACTGCCATTGAGTTGACAATACTTAGCTACATGGACCAGAGTCCTGACTTGCTACCAGGCAGCAGCGAACATGATATAAGAATATTTTCTAAATGTCTATCCTTTTTTCTCTAGGCAATCCTAGCAGTCTCCCATTTAGAATTCCGACCGGCTCAAAACTTCCTTAGGTCCCATGCGGCTGCGCCATCTCTCCTGTTTCTGGGGGGGGGGCAAAGAGTTCATTTTTGCATGACAATCTTCTCCACTATGGTACTTTCCCAATGTTTTGCCCTCTTAATTCTCATCAGCAGAATCAGAAGTTTGGGATGATGAGGTACAGTGGTCAGAAGCTGGTCCAATCTTATTTCAGCGGGCCCTGGTGAGCTTTCTGGGTGGCATCACTAATGGCCATAGGATAAATTAGTGGGAAATTTAAATTAATTAATTAATTAATTTCATTAAAAAATTTTTTACCCCACTTGTCTCTTTAAAAAGGACCCAAGGTGGCTTACATCAATCGAAAGGCAATATTTAACGAGGAAAACAATGAGTATAAAAAGGTAGTGTACATCATTAAAAGACAGCATTGAAAGCTAAAAACAATTGAGTGTAGAAAGGCAGCTTACATCATTAAAAGACAATATTTAAAGCTGAAAACACTTAAGTATAGAAATATTAAAAAGGAACAAATGGTGCTCTGAGAAATGGGAAACACAAGCCATATTAACAACACAGTCAAAGCCGTGATGCATAACAGTGGCGCTCTGAGAAATGGGAAACACAAGCCGTATTAACACAGTCAAAGCCGTGATGCATAACAGTACATCTCAATGAGAACTTTTGACACCTTCCTGCTCAGTTTTGATCAGAGCATTGGCAAAGCATTCATATGAGAGAAGGCATGTCTCGTATGACTGGTGAGCCCGGCATCCCCACCAGCTACTCTTGGACCTAATAAAGGGAATCTAGAAACCAAATGGTCAAAGGAGGAACCTCATAATAAAAGATTTGAAACAAATCTCAAGAGGAGATGGTTAAGGAAGCTTCACCACCTGCGCAGAGCAGCAGGAGGGCCTGCCTGTTCGCTCCACTGTCTGTTGAGGCAACACTCTGAAGAACGTCAGGGATTTTGGAAGACCCTTCCCTCTTCTAGTTGGAAGCCTGCAAAGACGTTGAGTCGCAGCACTGCAGGAATTCAGCTTGCCTTGCCGATGGTCAGGACCATGGATAGCTCCAGAGTTGATTGAATTAGATGGAAGGGCAGGGCAGGTACCAAGTTAGTTTACAAGCCCGGAGCGTTGCTTTAGCCCTGATCTGGAGCTAGCTCAGAGCTTGAGAGTCGTTTCAGAGCAAGAGGGGCCTGCGAAGCTCTGCCTCCTTAGCTGTTATGGGGCCAGCGCTCCATGATGCCCCTGCTCTGGTACCTGCAGTTGGCAGAGTCATGGCAGAGAGTCCTTTGGGACTGCAGGTAGAAGTTGGGAGTCATCTGTATCAAAGACACCTATTCAGAAGTAGAGGATAATGGATTCTCATTCATGTTAAAGTTACAGGAGTCCAGATATGTTCTGACTGAGGTCGTTTTTTGATCACAAAAACTAACACTGGCATGCTTTGACTAAAATTGGAGGTGGGAAAATCAGAGGATGCGGCTTTCTGATTTCTATTAAGGAACCATCTTCCCCTTCCGGAAAATTTGAGCACAGATTTGTCCAGCGCTTCCCTTGTGCCTTCAAAATCATTCTGTTTGTCTTTGCCTCTTCCCATCTGTCCCCGTCTTTGAGCCATTTGTGACATACCCATTTATTTCTTGTTCTCGTCGACCATACAAATGGGAATGATGATGGAATGGAAACGCAGGGTCTTTGCTTACAAATGCACATGGCAAGGTTTTTATCGGATTCTTGGCCATGATTTGCTGTTCTGTCCGGACAATTATTCTTTATAGGCCTGCATGCGTGTTGTCATGCTAATTTAAATCTTCTACATAGAAATGTTGCATTAACAAATATTTGTAATTAACATCTTGCCTTCTTTAGCTACTAAATTCTGGTTCAGATACGCTTTCTGTGTCCAGTTCTCCTATTATTTTTATATTTTATAACTTGCTAATGTTTGTGTTGGCAATTCCTTCGACGGATAGATGAGTCTTGATTTCTAAACAGTATTTCTTCTCAAATAGTGTTTTTCTAATCTTTAACCCTCTGCTCCTAAATAGCAGTGTTTCTTAATGAGTAATAGTTTTCCTAAAAAGTAACGGAATAAAAGCACTGTCGAGAAACGGTATGTTTTAAGGGAAAAATCTGGATGCTGTACCCTCTTTCTGATTGCTTATGCGTGTAATTTAAAGCAGTTTTAATGGCATACTTAAAATGGCTCAAACACTTTTTAAATACCTGCATATAAGATTGCTTTCTGTTTGGTCAGGCACTTCATGAAATCTATGCCACTGCTCGAGTCTGGGAAATAGATTTGTTTGGATTACAGGTTCCATAAACCCCCAACCAATATAGCCTATTACCCTACTAGCTGGGAATTCTGGAAACTGTAGTCAAAAAAACATTCCTAGACTTAGTACTACACTCTCCACAACAACAACAACAACAACACCCCCCCCCGGATCCTTTTAATTGCAAGGGGATATGTACCAAACATGAGCCCTTCTGCAATGCATGGCACATGCTCTTCCACTTAGCTGTGCCCCTACCCCCTGATTACCAGCTGGAATAGGTTCTGATGGTTAGAGGCCAACTCATCCTTCCTTGGCTTAGATCTCACCAGATGTTGTGTCCGTGAGACCCAAAGCAGCACAGACAAAAGGCCAGGGATGATGAGAAGCGTAGTCTTAAAATATCTGGAGTGTAAGAAAAGGTGGTCTAGGAGTTTAGATTTTATCACGACTCCTTTGCAAAGCTGGGGTAACAGCAATCAGCTGGGCTAATAATTGACTCCCTTGCTTTTTGTGTGTGTCTCCATTGATGCAATCTGTGCCCTCAAGCTCTTGTCTAGAGCAGGGGTCTCCAAGCTTTTTGCAAAATATATGTTCCAGATTTTTGAAGGCTGGAGGAAGACAAGCTCATCCGCCCACATGCCTGCACTCCCACCCACCTGCACGTATGAACCCCCTCCTGCCCACGCTCACGCTCACACTCCTGCCCACCAGGCTGGATAAGAAGGCAGGATGGACCGGATGTGGCCCGCAGGTCATAGTTTGGAGACCCCTGGTCTAGAGGAAAGTAATTCTGACCACACATCTCGGTTCTGTTCCTTGTAAAATGTTTTGAAGGCAAAATACTGTTGTAGGCAAATATCTTCATACCAAACCTTCCTTCTGCCGTCTCTTGTTTACTTTTGAACAACGCAATGCAGAGCGAAAAGATGCTGAAGGATGGGAAACAGTCCAGCGCGGAAGACCCGTGAGATCGAAATCTTCTGTTCTGGCTGCAAAAATGTCTCTGTCTGCCGAACGATCGCAGCCCAAAGATGACAGTGACAAAGAAAATGTAGTTCTGGGCCCATCTGAGAACAAGCAGAAGCGTTCATTGATTGAAGACAGTATATCTAAAAATACAGAACCAGTCTGGAAAGATCACTACGAACAGCCCCTTGCTGAACGAACTCAGGTAAGTACAACCTAGGGGAAGCTCCCCAAGCCCTCCTTGTATGTTGGAGATCACATTTTCAGAGAAAACATCTCAACTTCCTTGTTGCAACCTGTTTTGAAACACTTGTGAGTTGGGTTGCATGGCAGTTATGGCAAGCACTTGGCAAAATGCTATCCAAGAACAGAGATAAATATGTATAGATTTTAAAGGCCACAAGAGGAGATGAGGTTCTCAGGGGAGGAGGACATTTGGGGATACTGCTGTCCTGCAGATAGCTGTGTGGTGGTCTAATGACAATAAAGCTCGTGTGTATGCTCCACTTGTAAAGATGGCAGCACTGGTAGGCACAGCCATGCCTCTTGGACTTGAGTACTGTGTATGTCTAGATCCATGCTTCCCAACCTTGGGTCCCCAGACGTTCTTGTCCCTGGTCCAGCACAGCTAGTGGTGAAGGCTTCTGCGTAAAGATGGCAGCACCGGTAGGCACAGCCATGCCTCTTGGACGTGAGTGCTGTGTATGTCTAGATCCGCGCTTCCCAACCTTGGGTCCCCAGATGTTCTTGGACCTGGGCCAGCACAGCTACCGGTGAAGGCATCTGGGAGTTGCAGTCCGAGAATGCCTGGGACCCAAGATTGGGAGCCCTATACACAGACTCTCCTGGAGACAGTCTTCATATTAAGCACCTTCTGCCATTTTTAATGTAGTTGAATATTGCCTTTGCAAAATATTTCATTGAGGTGTTTTCCTTAATTCTCTTGATTTTCCCTACTGGAAATGTTGAGGGGGGGGGAGTGTCTGCAGATAGGTTGTTTCTGAATGTTTCCATTCCAACCCACCCCCAGGCTTTTGAATCTGAACATCCACGTGTCTGCATCTGCATCACTCTCTCCCTACCATGGGCTTATCTGGCAACAGGGGTGGTCAGCTTTGAGTTACCCCTAAGATGACCCTATAGAATATTTATGTTCAGGGGGAGCATATCAAGAACTGAATTCATACCGCAAAGGAGGGATATTTGTTTATTTATCTATTTTATTTATCGATTTTTAAAAATATTTATTTATTTATTTGATCCAAGGTGACTCGCAACAACTAAAATTATGAAACAAACAGCAATTTTTAAAAAATGCTTTATAGATATCATATTTAAAAAATAAACGTAGACTACGATTTTTTTATTAAAAAAAACCCACAAGATTAAAACATTCCAAAATCTGTCAGTTTCATAAACAAGCGCTCCTGAGACATTTCGTTCTGAAAAGCCTGCCTAACAGTGGAAGGGGGGGGGGCAACCCGGCTTCTCAGGACAGTGTGGGGAATCAGCCACCAAGAAGGCCTTGTCTCGTGTCCGTCCGAAACGAACTTGGGGATGTGATGGGAACCAAACAGGGTCCTACGGTGTAACGACAGCTTTTCCCTCCGTGACCCGTTTGTTGGGCTTTCAGGAAGCATCTGACAAGCAGGCTGGCTTTTTAAATCGGGTCTCGCCGTTTGCCTTTTGGGAACTCACTTGCCTGTCTTTCTTTCCTGCCAGTTCACCGCCCGCATCCTCGAGGACATTAAGATTTCTGAGAACACCGCCATGCCCGAGGGCTCCCTGCAACCGAAACCAGACGTGCCGATTGTTCTCATAGACGCTGAGCATACTTTGAAAAGTCTCCAGGCGGAAGAAGTCGTCTCTGCCATGCCCAGGATTGACGAAGAGAGCCAGTTAGAAAAAACTAAGCTTGACAATGAAATGGACCCTGCGGATATTTCGAACGTGAGTCCTTCCACATTGTCGTTCTCTGCCAGTGGCACGTGTCTCAATGGCTGGACCCAGAGGTGGCCTGGGTGCGACGCGGGCTAAGAATCCACTCTCCTGCAAGGGGGTGTCCTCCTGACCCTGCTTGCCACGGATTACTCGTGGTCAAATATGAGAGACTCATTTGTGGAACACATTGCTGGCATGTATGAAAAGTCCAAAGTTAAATCTCATTCTCTCTCCAATATTATAACAGGATAACATTTTTAATTTTTTTAAATTATTATTAAATGAACTACAGCATAAACATAAAATAGATAAACCAAAGTACAAACCAACTTTGTTCCCACCACCCTAGTATTCCTCTGTTGTCCTCTTCTCCAGAACTGCATTGATTCCTGATTTGGTGCTTTCCCTTTTCCTCTTGTTAACACATATTCAAGAAATCTGCCCCGTATATCATAACATTTATTATTTTGCATCTCTTAACCTTTAAATTACAAGTTAACTTATCATTTATAGCAATGTTCCATATTTCATTGTACCGTTCTTCCATATGAAATTCCAATTTTGATTTCCAATTCCTAGCTATTATTTTAATCTGGCTGCTGTTAATAAATTGGCCAGAATCCAATTAGTTACACAGCGTAAACTTCAGTGGTGGATCATTGCAAGTTAAAGAAGCTAAAGCCGGCATGTGCTGTTCCGAGCCGAATCATAGGACCGGGCGTAGCTTCTTCAATTTGTTTGTCAGGGATGTTACCAATTGTTTGGGTCCAAGTCCCAAGTTGGATTCACTATTAAAAACAAGTTCCCCCCCCCAGGAAAAAGGGAGGGGTGGAATGTTCCGAGTTGTGGGTCAGGTACCAATCATTGGGGGGGAACCAAGTTGAGTCACTGGTGCGACTTGCATCCGACTTGACAGTGACTCTCGTAATGTGAGCCCCCCTCCCAATGAGAATTATGCCAGTTGCATTAAGATGGGCATAATTGGCAGGAAATAAATAGCACATGTCCATTTCCCAAAACATGTATATCTTCATAAATGCCCACCACCGTGATATTTTACCCATCTTTTTCAACAAAACCTTGGTTTTGATACATTGAATTGACCAAATAATACAGTGACTCTCGTAATGTGAGCCCCCCTCCCAATGAGAATTATGCCAGTTGCATTAAGATGGGCATAATTGGCAGGAAATAAATAGCACATGTCCATTTCCCAAAACATGTATATCTTCATAAATGCCCACCACCGTGATATTTTACCCATCTTTTTCAACAAAACCTTGGTTTTGATACATTGAATTGACCAAATAATATAATATTACATTTTGGGGTGGGGTGGGGGGGAATCCTTTGCAACCAAATCCTCTCCATGTCGATAAAGTATTTCGAAAGCCTTCATTTCTGAAGTTGAGCCTTGCACTCCCCTAGTCAATGGCAGAAGTTCTGGCTAAAAAAGAGGAGTTAGCGGATCGCCTGGAGAAAGCCAACGAAGAGGCCATCGCCAGTGCCATTGCCGAAGAGGAGCAGCTCACCAGAGAAATTGAAGCGGAGGAGAATAATGACATCAACATTGAAACGGATAACGACAGTGACTTCTCGGTGAGTCTTATATAGATTTTTAGTTGTTCTGCTTTATATGCGATGCACAAGTATTCGTAGAATCCTAGAACAATGAAGTCGGAAGGGGTCTTTAAGGCCATGAAGTCCAACGTCCTGCTCAAGGCAGGCATCCAAACCAAAGCAGATCTGACAGAGGGTTGTCCAGTTTTCTCTTGAATGCCTCCAACATTGAAGCACTCACCATCTCCCGAGGTCATGAGTTCCATTGTCGTACTGCTCTAACAGTTAAGAAATTTTCCTGATATTCAGCTTGAATCTGCTATGTCAAGCCCATTATTATGTGTCCTGCACTCTGGGATAATCAAGAACAGAGCCTGCCCCTCCTCTGTATGACTACCTTTCATGTATTTCAAGAGTGCTATCATATATTCCCTATTCAGATTTGTCTAATGGCACAAGTGTATTTCCAATGCCAAAAACAGCATTTAAGTAGACCAGTCTGCTTTTGGATCTTTCTCAGCATTGTGAGATAGTTGTGCAGCTATCTGCTGGACTAGTCGCACTTAAAAAAGAAGAATGTTTTGAATATTATTGTTTATTTTTCTGCCTTGTTTAACACCTTGAAAAAATTAACAGAAGGTGTAGATGAAAAATGGGGCGTTGTGTGTGTGTGTTGTGTGTGGTGTGTGTGTGTGTGTGTGTGTGTGTGCAAATCGAAGACTGTAGAAATAACAGTCTGGAGGTTTAGGAGGAGGCATGATTTTCCATTGGGAGAATGAACTGGCAAACGTCACAGTCACATGTTATTTGTTTGCCTACTTTCTCTTTCCACACTATGGAGCTTTAAACAATCCACAGTTCCCTGTCATGTCCAAACATGGGGAATGTTGCTATGGTTAGTGAAAACAAGCAGAGATCAAACCATGATTTCCAATCCTGGCTTGTTCAAAGCCTATAGTTTCCCGCTGTGAAAAAAAAAGCCATGGTGGTTAACACAGATGAAGCCTTTCCCTACTACCGCCACCACCTTTGGATCTGCGAAGAGGAGCTTTCAATTGCAAATGAACCCCAGCTCACTGCTGTGCTTCAGCTTGGGAAACTAGCTTCTCATTATGTCTGACCTGTGTTAGCAGCAACGCTTGTCTTTTTGTTGGTATACCCCTTTGCAAGAGAAAATAAGGCAAGAGGGGGGAAAATACACTGTTGCACATTAGATTTCTTTTTGCATATGTAACGTATTTGAATTATTCCAGCCGTTGCTAATGTTTGCACCGTTTCCTCTTATTACCAATAGAATATCTAAAGTTATGTCCTCCTCCACCTCCTTCTTTGTTTTCCTTTGCCTTATGTAATTTTAGGCCAGCGTGGGCAGCGGAAGTATCTCTTTTTGTGGCATTTCAATGGATTGGAATGACGTCCTGGCTGATTATGAAGGTAAACGACATGGGCTTGTGACACTGTGAGTCGAGATCTTAAGATGAACTTTTTAGTGGCTTCCTTTATTCCCTTCCCTTCCCTCCTTCCTTCCTTCCTTCCTTCCTGTCTGTCTGTCTGTCTGTCTGTCTGTCTGTCTATTTTTTATTTATTTATTTCATTCTTCCTCCCTCCCTCTCTTCTTTCTTTCTTTCTTCCTCCCTCCTTTCTTTTTTCTTTTTCTTTCTCTCTCTCTCCTCCCCCTCCCTCCCTGACTGACTTAATTTTGAGAGAGGTGTTCTCACCACCTCAGTTTTGTACACCGTGCAGATATTACCAGCCATGTGGTTTCAGTATCCCCTTCCAAAATCGACTCTTTCTCCGTACAGCTCGTGAATCGTGGCGTCAGAACAACTCTTGGGGCGACATTGTAGAAGAAGAACCAGCTCGTCCTCCAGGCCACGGCATCCATATGCACGAGAAGCTCTCTTCGCCCTCTCGCAAGAGGTCTTCCCTTTTTAAACATTTGATAAAAGTAATAGAACAGTATTGGATTCCATTTTTGTTTGTTTTTTATGTACACAAACACACACACACACACACCCCTGTTATTAGAATGTAAGAAGCTGTCTATGTAGCTTTGTGCTGCCTGCTGTCTTTTTGGCCAAGTCCTTTGCTGTCCTCTGATATTTGGACATTATTATTCGTTACTGTTTATTTAGTGCCATGTTTGTCCATCCCTAGACATGCCAGGAGTTGCATTTGGGGCCACCTGAACGCAAAGCCCATCCTCCTGGCACTGACTTCTTATCCTTTCCTAGCCACAGCCATGCTTTAATTAAAAACTGGTGGAAGATAAATGTTACATTGGTCTTGTATCATGGAATATCTGGGGCAGTTGTGTCATGGATTTATTGTTCACAGTTGGTCCATTAGTCTGTGCTTTAGTAATCGGAGTCCTCATGTACAGGGTTTTCTTGCTGTGAGTTGCCCCTGTTTGTTCTCTCTCTCTCTCTCTCTCTCTGTGTGTGTGTGTTGCTGGCCGGCAGTCCCAGACCCAACACGCTGGGTATGGTATGCTTCATCCCCATGATAATTAGCAGATTGTATGCTTTTACATGTCAGATGAGAAATGGAGTTCTTTGTATATAGCATTGATGTCTGGCATTCTTCAAACAAATGGAGAATTTTCTGTGTTACGTCCCAGAACGGTAAGCCCGTGTTATCAAGGCATTGGTGCCGGATCCCTGTTGTACGAGAGGGGATTGCAGAGGAAAGCCTATGGAGGCCAACGAACGGGCCGTGCGCTTGAGCAATTCCTTGCATCCTTTCTGTAAACACTGTGCCGTTCACACACAACTGCTGCACACCTCTGTGTGAGCAGAACAAATAAACAGATTGCTCAGACTTGATAAGGGAGGTGGTGCAATATTGTTCCCCCATGGGTTTAAAACTGGGAGTAACTGGTATTTGCCTGGATCCACGTGTGCAAGGCAATGCACCGCAGCGTTGGGGGAAAATATGTTGGTGTGGAAGCGCTGTTCACAACGTACTTCTGCATGAAGGCCGCACAGCGGTCAAACTGATAGCTGTGAGACCACTTGAGCAATCTAACTGCATGATAGTGGTGGCTGGGTTTCAGCATTGTCTACCAGCCTCCATATGCATTTGCTTGGATTCCACGTCTCACAGTGTGCTTTCCATATTTATTCCAAAAGGACAATAGCGGAGTCTAAAAAGAAGCATGAAGAAAAACAAAAGAAAGCTCAACAGCTGAGAGAAAAGTTGCGAGAAGAGAAAACATTAAAGCTCCAGAAATTAATGGAACGGGTAAGCTAGCCATACTTTAATTTTTTTTCATTGTCCTGAAATACGACTTACAGCTGCACGCACGGCTAGGGCTCATGCCTTCGTATCTATGGGTATTGAAGTACATTTGGAAGAGCGATCTCCATCAACATGCCTGTTGGAATCCAAAGGTGTTCTACATGGACATGGACCATCTCTCCCTCTCTGAGCTTTCTCAGTGCTTAAGGTGATCAGAGGAGGCCCTCCTCTTGGTCCTGTTGCCAGTGCAGGCCTTCCTCGCTGTAGCAGCTCACGCATTATGGAATGCTCTCCCTTGGGATCGGGCGGGCTCCTTCCCTTTTATCCTTCCACCGACATCTGGCGACCCAGTTTTTCAGGCAGGCTTTCCACAATCATAACTTGAATCCCTGAATGCTATTTCTTGGTCAAGATACTTTATAATGTTTTGCACGTTGTTAGTAATCCCATACATTTTAATAAGTTTTATACTTTTAACTGTTTTTCATGTATAATGTTTTGTGTTTTTAATTCTGTTTTTCATACTGTGAGCCCCTTATCGGGAGGAAGGTGGCCGATGCCAGTGAATGAGATGGGAGGGAGGGAGGGAGGGAGGGAAGTATTCTGTTTTTAATATTGTGAGTCCCCTTGAGAGTCTCCTTATCGGGAGGAAGGTGGCCGATACCAGTGAATGAGATGGGTAGGAGGGAGGGAGGGAGGGAAGGAGATAAAATTTTATAAGTGGTTGTCTCATTGCAACCTTTTATGCATCTCAGAAATGCTAAGAACCTTCAGAAGAACATTGTATACAATGCTGGTCCATAGGGTGATACAGCTCAAGGTGGGCATCAGTTACTACTTAGAGATGGACATGGACCACCCATCTTCCAGCAGCATTAGGCAATCTGCTGCCTTCTCCCATCATCCTCTGCCAGAAGCTTTTGATGATTGTGCACTGCAGTGCAACTTCTGTTTCTGGAGAGCACTATCCATTCTCCTCCCCTTGGTGCTTCTTCAAGCATCTTGAAGGCACCTAAACTATAAATTACCCTGATATTTCAATCATGACATTTTTTAAAATTGTATTTTGCTGATCTTTGTCCATCTTACACAAATCCTTCCCCTAGCAAGCAAAAGAAGCTAGTAAATATTACCTGAAGCTTCAGGGTTCAATCCTATCTCTTATGTTAAGTGAGGAGAGCGCTTTTGTCATGTTGTGTATTACATTACACCAGACCTTTAAAATATGTTGACATGCATTAAACTTGGAATGATTGCCAACTCATGAAATATGATGAGATTTATGGCTAACTCTATTTTCTTTGTGGCAAGTGCCTTACTCAGCTTGATTGAAAGCTTTCACAAGATCTACATTGTTCAATATAGAGTTAAACCAATGTTGATTCAAGATTACTCCAGGAAGCATTGAATATCCTTTAAATTGTTGTATTTGTTGAATTATCGGCTGGAAAGTGGGCTATACTCAATAATTTAAGGTTATATGGTGTGAACACTGCTATTGACGTTGGAGAGAAAACAGTAAAGTAAAAAAGGTCATGCGAAATTTGCTTTCTGCCTTTTAATTTTTATTTGTTTGCTTTTTTCCCCATAGGAGAAAGATGTACGCAAGTGGAAGGAAGAATTGCTAGACCAGAGGCGGAGGATGATGGAGGAAAAATTGCTCCATGCAGAATTTAAGCGTGAAGTGCAGTTGCAGGCGATTGTGAAAAAAGCGCAAGAGGAAGAAGCAAAGGTGGGCCCTGAGAATTAAAAATGCTTGTTCTGTTTTGTGGGAAGGGCCCAGCTGAAATGATCTTGCGCAACTTGATTTCAGCAGGAGTTGTGTGTAGGGCGTGTTTTTGCCGAAGGCGTAGAGAGGCTACATAATAACTCAGTGGTAGAGAATATGTTTCGTATGCAGAGGGCCCCAGAGGTTGACCCCTGCCATGTCTAGGTAAGGCTGGAAAATCCACTCCAAACAAGCCACTCCTGTGGTTGGTTTGAGGGGCCAGTGGTCTGACTTGTAACAACAGCTTCCTCTGTTGCTCTGATTATTCCCCAGCTGTATTTTTCCTGGAGATGGTTATGAATGATACAAGAAGAGACAGGCGTCATTTCCATTAGAGTGGACATTCCTTAGTTCTACAACAGGGCTGGGAAAAGTGTAGCCTGTAAACCACATAAAATTTCTCTGGGGCATTTTTTTTCTCCCCCAGGCTCCATCATGTAACCTCATGTTAAAGGGGGTGGAGGAAAGAGAGAATCGGTCTTAAAAGTAGGTTTTCAACTCCCCCCTTTCAGTTTGCACTCCCCCTTCAAACTCTGGGGCATTTTTTTTCTCCTCCAGGCTCCATCATGTAACCTCATGTAAAGGGGGTGGAGGAAAGGGAGAATGGGTCTCCAAAAGTAGATTTTCAACTCCCCCTTTCAGTTTGCACTCCCCCTTCAAAAATCAACCCCTCCAAAGTTCTTGGAACAAATTCAAATGAACACAGATTCATTCATTCATTCATTCATTCATTCATTCATTCATTCATTCATTCATTCATTCATTCATTCATTCATTCATTCATTCATTCATGTGTTTCAGTGGATGGCACAGCCTGGGCTGGATCGTGGGAACAGAAAATTGACCCCAAGACTCAACCCATGCATCTTTCTTTGACAATGAAATGTCTTTGACTGAGCCTTTTCCCAAGGCTGGGGAATATGTGGCCCTCCAGATAAGGTTGGACTTCAACTTCTCTCTTCTGGAAAACTGCACATTTCCCATCCTGGCCTTAGACATGATGGTTAGCATGGGGCCTGAGAGGAATAAAATAAACCTCCTTTTCCCCCTTCCCTTCTGTGACAGTACACTTCCATTTCTCTGTTGTCTGTTTTTACTCTGTTGTTGGCAGCCTTGAATGTCACCCCAGAAGGTAGGATGCAGATGTTAGAAAACAGTGTCACTAGTTAAAAGCCAAGGGCCTCAATCCAGTTGTCAGTTCCAACAGGAGAAGACCCACTGAATGGGTGGACCTTACAGAAGTGTTGACTTCCCACCTTCTCACCTGTTCAGTGCATCTGTTCTGGTTGGAATTAGGTGGGCAGATCTGTTCTCCTGGACTGCAATTCCTGGGCTGCAGTTCTCTAAGGAATAAGGAGAGTCGTAGTCCAAAAAACCCACCCTCAAATCTGAACACCTCTAGTTAGGACTAACTGTTGTATTTAGGTTGATTATTCCCAGGGCTTGAAAAATCCACTTTTCCACTCGTCTGTGACGAATGAAAAAACGCTGCTTGACGATCCACCACTCCCTCCGTCCCTCCCTCGCTCCACCCCTCCTTGCCTCCTTACCCTCAATTCCCCCCCCATCCTCTAGTCCTCCCCTCCCCCTTCCCATTGCAAAAGGAAAACAGTCCTCTTCTCGGGAGAAGAGAGTTTGAGTGGCACATAGATATATAGCTCTGCATAAGAATGTAGAGTAGTCCCATGCTGGAGAATATGGAGATTCCTTGCTCCCAATTTCAACCGAACAACCTGGCTCTTTAAGAGGCCTGGCGCTTTTGCTTTCAATTTTATTTTTGCTGGAGACATTTTAAAAAAGGCATTCAAAATACAAGCTTCATGACCTCACAGGCACGCAGGTAATAAAGCAACCCAAGTCTGAGGGTATATTTATTTTGGGTTTGTACGCATTGTTATGTAGAAAGTGCCTAGTTTAAATTTAAATTTAAGTTTAAATATAAATTGCAAGGCTATAGTCGGGTCATGCTGCCTGGTGAAATTTTTGACTGACTGGTGAGACATTCTAACATTTTTCAAGCCCTGATTATTCCCTTCCTCTGTTGGAAGTACATCATCTTTAAAAGTGTTGAAATCTTTCAGTCCAGCATTGCATCTCCTACGTTTGGTTGACTGACATCGAAAATTAGCACTTGTGTGAGTGATTTTTTTTTAAATGGGTGTTATGTCAGATTAATTATTGTGAGATACAACTGTCATGGACATTGGATTTTCATTGCTATGTTGAGGAGCATCTGAACATATGGTTTTGTCATGGTATCAGAGTCTATTAATGGCCAGCAGTATCCATTGAATTCTGAACTAGAGAACATTGCATGTGTTCTTTGAAGAGGGTGTGTGTCTATTGTTGTTAACGATCCTAGAAACATCAGCATCGGCTTAGTCCATTAGTTGAACAGATGCTTCAGTCACTCTGTTTAGAATCGTTCACTAATTTGATTTAGCTTTTGTCACGGTTCGATTTAAACCCACGCGGCCTCAGTAATAAAATTAATCTAATGTAATTCCTGTCTAAACAGAGGTGTTAAAAGTGTTGCATCTGTTCAGTTGTGTACCTTCTATTGTCTGTACATTCTCCAAGATCACCGTTAGGTGGGTCAAAACTACTCAGTGATGAGTCAGATGCAGCTTGCATTGCTGCCCGGTCTCTTAAATTCCCAGAGCTGCCTGCCTGCTGAGCTGCAAAATCCATTCTGTAAACGTGTCCCTCTTTGTAAACAAAGGAGAAAGATCTGTATTTTATTTGGCCATTTAGACTTTCTGAGGATTTGCAGATGGGGATGATTGCTAACCCTGTGATGCAAAGACATAGTCAGGCAAAAAAAAGTTTTTGTAACATTTTCCAACAGTTTTCATGTTGCCAGCTTTAGAAAACATTTTGTGGTGCCTGTTACACAAACGATTCCTCCTATACAAACTGGATTCCAAAGGTTCTTTAGAATAATTATGATTAAAACTTGGCCATGGAGGCTGGGCATTGCTGGGAGCCTGCCAAGGACCTGAAGAAGCATAGTGCCATCAGTAAAATAAAATAAAATAAAAACACATGGACAAAACTGTCCAGATCCATTGTAGAGATAGACGGGGACCTCAGTTTGCTCTTGCTAGTTCATGATCCATTGACTGTAGAGATAGGCGGGGACCTCAGTTTGCTCTTGCTAGTTCATGCGCACAGCACCACAGGGGCCACACATTCCCTGGCCAATGACCCGTTGACCAGCCGACACATATCCCTCTTCTCCTCCTCTTCGGTGGTTCCACCACTCCTTGGCAGGAGCATGGGTTTGCCTCCTTATCTGAGTGGCGATCAGCCAAGAAGGTGAGGCAGGGAAGCCTGTGCTCCGGAGAACTGCCATTATGTTGTCACATCAGAGGGAATGTGCTATTATTGGGTGCCCCATCCCTGTTCAGCATCTCCAGCATCCAAACGCCGCATGGTTTAAGCACATTGGTAACATTTTTCTCTCCAGAATAAAAGGGAATGAGGGGCAACCAAAGGGTTGCCTGCCGTTTCCTAAGGCCTTTTTAGAGACTTCAAGGTGATGGGAAAAATTGTGGGGAATGTTGTGCTTCTCAGGCCTGCCTACTCTTAATCTCCAGCCGCAGCCCCTGCCACGAGGGTGCTGGACACAAAGACTAGCTCAACGCAAGCTGTTCTCTCCAGCTCGGGCAACGTGCACTGAAGGAAGCAGCCGCTTCTCGGATACTTGCAGAACGTCTTTCGCGTAATTTAATTAAGCGTTTGTTGTATCTCACCCAGTTAAGTGTCACGCCACCTCATCGTTCTCTTCAACTGCTCGAAGAGTTGGAGACTTTCCCAGCTGATGCACCAGGCTTGTTTCCAGGGCTAAATATGTCATTCCCCCATTGGAGACGCATCCGTTGAAGTTTCTGAGTTGGAGAAATTAGTCAGCAGGACAGGAGATATCTGTATAGAAATGTTTACATCCTTTGTACTGCTGATATTAAAACCAACTCTGAAGACAGCATTGCGGTTATTTATTTATTTATTTATTGGCAGTATTTATTTTTTATCCCTTTGCTTGTGTGGGGTTGTTTCAATAGGACTTTTGCCAGCTTTTGTACCAGAAAATGAACTGGATGTAGAGACCATGAATTGTTGATTTGCTGATGGAATTTCTGCAGGGATCTGTAGTGTGTTGTACTTCACATGACGGAGCAGAGCAGATGTGATGGCCGCAGAATGTTCATAAAGAGTTTAACTTCTCAGTGAATGAGGAAGTCAGAATGTCTGCAGTCTGGCTTCTGGGAGAGAAGGAAAAGTTGTCAATCTAGGAGTAAATACCCCCCCAAAAATAACAGTAGCTTTGGAGAAACAGGTACAGGGAGACAATGATCAATGATGTTGATCATTCTAGAACTGCAGGGGACCCTATGAATCATTAAGTCCAGCCCCTGTCAAGAAGGCATAGTGTGGAATTTATTTATTTATTTATTTTATTTATATCCCGCCTATCTAATCAATTAAGATTACTCTAGGCGGCTTACAACAATAAAAACAACAACAATACAGTTAAAATCATAATACAAAGGAAAGTTGCAACAAGATGGGAGCTAGGGAATAGAAGGAAAGAGGGATCGGGAATTGATAAATGGGAAGGCCTGCCGATACATCAATGTTTGTAGTTGTTTTTTAAAAGTACCCAGTGAGGGAGCCGCGCAAATGTCAGGGGGAAGGTTATTCCAGAGGCGAGGAGCCACCGCCGAGAAGGCCCTATTTCTTGTCTTTTCTTTCTGGGCCTCCCTTGGCGTTAGGCTCCTCAGCCTCACCTCCTGACTCGCGCAAGTGACATGGGTAGAACTTGGTGGAAGTAGGCGTTCCGCCAAGTAACGAGGCCCTAAGCCGTTTAGGGCTTTATATGTAAGCATCAACACTTTGAAGTCGATGTGGAAACCGATGGGCAGCCAATGCAATGCGGCCAGAGTGGGCGAAATGTGTTGATATCTTTTCACACCACTGAGAAGTCTGGCCGCCGCATTCTGCACCACCTGTAGTTTCCGCAGCAGTCCCAAAGGTAGCCCCACGTAGAGCGCATTACAGTGGTCTAATCTTGAGATTACGAGCGCATGCACCAACGTAGTGAGCGCCCCCACCTCGAGATAGGGCCGCAGCTGGGCTATCCGCCTAAGATGGTAAAAGGCGGTTCGGACAACCGACACCACCTGGGATTCCATGGTGAGTGCCGGGTCCAGACGGATCCCCAGGCTGCGAACCCCATCCTTGGCAGGGAGGGTCACCCCCCCAAAAAAGTGAGGGAGTTTCCCAAATCCCCGATTGTGGGGGTGCCCACCCTCAGTACCTCCGTCTTGTCCGGGTTCAGCCTCAGCCCATTCTCCTGAACTCCCCAACTTCTGGCTCAGTAGCCAGATGCTTAAACCACTGAGCTTTTGAGGTTTCTGGGGAAGCAAGGAGGCACAAAGAGTTTCGTAGGAGAGCTATAGTATTGTGAAAATGGATGCGGAGGAAGGTGGCTGAATAAGGGCTAGGTCTGAACAAACCAGGCAATTATTGGACCTCCTATTCCTAGGTAATATATAGTAAACCCTAATGTTTGTGATATTTTGTTTTGTTGTTCTAGTCCAGTTAAATCTCTTTTGTCGTGGTTTAATTGCAGGTGAATGAAATTGCATTTATCAATACTTTAGAAGCCCAGAATAAACGGCATGATGTTTTGTCCAAACTGAAAGAATACGAACAGAGGTTGAATGAATTGCAAGAGGAACGCCAGCGAAGGCAGGAGGAGAAGCAAGCCCGCGATGAAGCTGTCCAGGTACGGCTTGATTTTAGAAATGCCAATAATAAGAGCATTGTGTCGAAATTCCTTCTTTTCCCCTTGTGTGCTGTTTACCAGTAAGGTTTATAAAATGCGGGGTGGCAAGAATTCCAGGAAAAGAGTTTCAGAGTGATAAAATAGCACACAGAGTAACCCCAGGGGTGTATAAGGCTGTGGGACGCAACCTGTTCCAAGTCCTGGGTGTGATCTCTCTGCTCTCAGGCAATATGCAGTTGAATTGCAGTTTTTAGGTAGACAAACTGGCATGTGTGCGCTGCTCATCATACAGTTGGTGTTCCATGCTTCTGGGTTTTCCAGAGGTATCTGATTGGCCATGGCAAGAACAGGAAGCCTAACTAAGCAATCTTATTAATCCAACCAAGTTGTCCTTGTGCTCTTAGCAACACGAAACACAGAAGCCTCCAAACTTTGCTGAGCTCTTGTTCCACTTTCCTCGAATGTTCTTCAAGCCAAATCATCAAACTTTTTTTCTGGACTCTGGTGCATGCAAGGATCTCACCCTTCCCTGTTTGGTTCGTGATCAGCCGACTATGACATGTAAAAAGCCGCTCTAGTGCTCTTTGATAGCATCTTTTGTTTTCACTTAGGAGTAACCCTTTAGGGCACTGGTTCTTAACCTTGGGTTACTCAAGAGTTTTGGACTGCAACTCCCAGAAGCCTTCACCACCAGCTGTCCTGACTGGGGTTTCTGGGAGTTGCAGTTCAAAACATCTGAGTACCAAAGGTTAAGAATCACTGCTCTAGGGAAATCAGCACTTACTTTCAAAGTTCATAGCCGTAGGATTGGGCTGTTGCTTTTTCAGCATGAACACATACAGAGCATCTGTGAATGTCTCTCTCCATTGACTCTGTGTCCTATTAAATGTGATTATTTACTCATGTTTTCTGGAGTTCTAGATTTATTTATTTTTAAAATATTAAATGCCGACCCTCTAGGAACGCAAAAGAGCTTTGGAAGCAGAACGGCAAGCCCGGGTGGAAGAGTTGTTAATGAAAAGAAAAGAGCAGGAAGCTCGGATCGAGCAGCAACGTCAAGAGAAAGAGAGAGCCCGGGAAGACGCAGCTCGTGAAAGGGCCAGGTAACAAGTGAGGTCCTTTTTTTGCCCTCAGTGCATGACTAGATCAGCAGGAAAGTCAGATGCACTTGGCTGCTCTTTTTTCCTTTGGGGCAAATGGTAAACTCACCTCCAGTTTTAACTACTATGCCTTGTAGCACCGTGGTTAAACTGCAGCACTGCAGTGAAGCTGCATGACTAGATCAGCACGGAGGTCAGATGCACTTGACTGCTCTTTTTCCTTTGGGGCAAATCGTAAACTCGCCTCCAGTTTTAACTACTGTGCCTTGTGGCACCGTGGTTGAACTGCAGCACTGCAGTGAAGACTCTGTTCCTAACCTAAGTTTAATCCAGCCAGCCTTGTTCACCATAGTATCAGTTTCCGGAATACAGTAGGAGTTGCCTTTCAATTGAATGTCTAGCCTCCCTCCCTCTTTGCACCCTTTCTGTGCCTCTGAGAGCTGAGCAGTTGTTTGCAACCAGGATGTCACTGCTGATGTTCTTACGGTGGAGGAGAACACTTTGCACAGAAGGGGCACGGAGATCAGGGAGCTGGATGGATGGACCTTCTGTCTTCCGCCTGATGGACTTTCTGTCTTTAGATTCTTAAGGCTGCATATCAGAAAAAATGAGAACGAAGGAGGCAGAACTAACGTGTTCCTTCTTGCAATTCAGGAATCTCCGATAACAGGACGAGTCAGCATAGTGAACTTTGATTCTGTCCTGCTTGCTAGTGCTTAGGATGGGTGTGAATTACCTCCTTCGATCTTTTTATCTTGTCACCACTAGATACTATCATGTAGCTTTTGGTGCCATTCCTTTTTCTTCCATACATGGAGGATGAACACATGTCCTCTTGTTTGGATAGAGACCGAGAAGAGAGACTAGCAGCCCTGACAGCAGCTCAACAAGAAGCCATGGAAGAACTGCAGAAAAAGATCCAGTTGAAGGTAAAGCCTAGAAATAGGTTGCTGCTTAATTAGATGACTATTAACTTTCGTCAGTAGCAGCTAATTAGCAAAACGCTGGCCAGAAGAAAGTTGCATGGTGAAAGAGAGATGCGTTTGGAACATGCTTGGTCATGGAAGCTACCTGTCTCGTTTTCCATGCCTGGTGGGAGTCCTCTGGTTTCTTTCTCTTGTTCAAAGTTAGCCTTCCTTTGCAGCCAGATCTAGCAAGGTCTGCTGTCCCACATCCCATGAATCATGGGCAGAAGCTTCCCTCTCTTGGCAGTCTAGATTGTGATTGCAGCTGAGATGCTTGGAGGTCACAGACCTGGATAGAATACAGTACAGCAAAGCGCCACGTTTTCCATGATTGTTCCAGCATTGTAGTGATTCCGCACTCTGAGTCATGTCAGTCAGTAATGATTCTGTATGGAAAATTGGGGGAGCAAGAAGAGGCCATTGGGGGGAGACTTGTATGTTCCTGGAAGCAACAGCCTGGATCCAAGCAAGTTTCTGGAAGGCAGGAAGGATAGGAGTGATTGTAAGGGATCTCAAAGTTGGGAGGGAGATAGAGGGTGGAAAGAATAATGCTAAAAAGTTCTTGAATGTCACCAAGGCATTGCAGATTTCCTCTTGCTAGCCAGGGTTATTTAATATTCTAAATAGATTTCTCCCTTCCTGTTGCTCCCTGTGCCTCACTTGGGCAGATGTATTTCTGTCTAAAACTGTGTGTCCTTTTTGTGCGTGTGTGAAATACCTTTTGGGGGTTCCCCTTGCCATCAGCACGACGAGAGCATCCGGAGGCATATGGAGCAAATTGAGCAGAGGAAGGAGAAAGCGGCGGAATTAAGCAGCGGAAGACACGCCAACACCGACTACGCCCCCAAGCTGACGCCCTACGAGCGGAAGAAGCAGTGTTCATTGTGCAATGTCTTGGTGAGATGGTCCTTCTGTTGGGGGGGGGGGAAATGATGTGGGCTTGTTGGCTTGTGGGCTTTGTGTTAGAAAGAGAAGAATGCAAAGCTAACACTGCCGGGATTGGCGGCAGGAGGCTAACTCCATGCTAGTGGCTAGCATTATCTCTGCCATGGACTCTAGTTAGATGCCTCTGTTCTATCAGTTACAGCTGTTCTTGCAGCACCTCGGGCTCTAGTCAAGGAGAGTGGCTTCAGGTCAGCCATTTTCCTATCAGGGGCTTCAAACCCTTGGGAGACCAACACTGAGGTCCACATACAGAAAATAAGGGAGTGGAAGCCAGTGATAGTGGCTCCACGAACAACTCCTTTCCGTTTTTATACCACACCTCCTCTCTGCCTTTTTTCGGCACCCCTGTTTCGGGCCCCCTCCCCATCGTTTCCCCCACCATGCAGGATGCCTGGACTGAGGGAGATGCCTCCTGCTGATCCTCTCTGAGGAGGTTTTATAGCTAGCAGAGGGCTTCAGGGTGCCCCCCCCAAACTATCGCTGCAGGATGTGATCTGTGAGCCTGCCATTCCTCGCAGCTCATATTAAGTAGCACAGAGGTGGACCTCGTTGTTCTGCTCGCCCAGGGGGATAAAACCGGTTTCCTCTTTTTCAGATCTCGTCGGAGGTTTATCTTTTTAGCCACATTAAGGGGAGAAAGCATCAGCAAGCCGTGAGAGAAAACAGCAGCATCCAAGGACGGGAGCTTTCAGATGAAGAAGTGGTAAGTCTTCTGCGCCCTCCTCCTGGAATGCATCATCTGAGGCTAGGTGGAATGAGTAGTCTTTGCCCATAACTGGCATGGTATCGGGATAAGGGCCTGAGTAAGCCGGGTGAGTATTTGGAGGGCTAGCCTGATAACAGTTCTGCAGTAAGTGCCATCATCTCCAGCAGCAGTTACTGGGATTTTTTTTTAATTTGGAGAATAAATAATAGTCAGTAATGGCCAGAATCTCGTTGCTGATTTATCTGTCTAGAAGTTCGGTTGCGTGCATCACCGGCTCTGCTGAATTGTCACTAACTAACAAGGCACCAGACAGATCACAAGCCCAAATACCAAAAGGGGTGCCTATTTCCCAGTTGTGTTGCAGACACGCACTTCGTGAATTTGCCGCTTTCATTCACAAGAAATTCTGACACAGATGCCGTTAGGATGTATCTTATAGCTTAGTTCATTGTCAAGTTCACAGTAGAGGAGTCGTGTCCATCTGGAAAGAAAATTTGTGACCATTTTAGTTAGGGCAACATTTAAAAACATGGACACCAATAATGCACGTGTGTGAGAGAAATGCCTTTGTTGTGTTTGCCACTGGTTTCCATCTTATTTTTAATCAATGAAGGTACCCATAGGTGAACACACTATTCCTACTTAAAGTTATTGCTTGTCATCTCTGATGCCTTCCTATTAAATGACCCTTCTCGCTTTGACAGCCAAGCTTTTATTTATACCACCTCTGACCTAATGAAATTTCACCTTTAGCCTCCTGCACTTGACGCTTCAGATCACATGCACTTGATCTCTGACACATTTTGGTTTTAAGCCCCGGACGCATAATAGCTGCCTTCATTTTGCCAACAAAAGAGGTTCCTTGCATAGATAAGTTCGGGATAGGAAGGCCGTGATTTCACCCAAGTGACCATGAAATTTCTCTCAATCAGCACAAAAGATCCAGGAGTAGGATTCGGAGTCTGCCAAGTTGTCTTTATTTCAGGATCTTGAACTTTAACATTCTACTTGCATTACATTAAAAGAGGACAGTACAAATATTTAGAAAACCAAATTTCGGTGGGTTCAGGGGGTTGTTTTTAGAAAGCAAAACTCTCTCTCTCTATATATATACACCCTAAGACCTAACCGGAAAATAAGCCCTAGTATGGTGGGTTCAGGGGGTTGTTTTTAGAAAGGAAAACTCTCTCCCTATATATACACCCTAAAACCTAACCGGAAAATAAGCCCTAGTATGATTTTTCAGGATGCTTGTAATATAAGCCCTACCCAAAAAATAAGCCCCATTTAAGTGAAACCCTGCCCTCCACCATTGTACAGCAACCAGAAGATGATGACATGACTGTATTTGGATAAATGTAGATTGTTGTATGTGAAAAAAATAAAATATCCCCTGAAAATAAGCCCTAATGCCTTTTTGGTGCATATATATATAAAAGACTCTGTCTTATTTTTGGGGAAACACGTATATATATAAAAGACTTATTTTTGGGGAAACACGGTATATACTTTCTCGCTCCATCCCTCTTATCTCTTCCACACTCTCCCACTTTCCTTCATTGTCAGTAGTTCTCTTATTAATTAATCTATAGCTGACGAACCTCATTCACTTTCCTTCATTGTCAGTCATTCTCTTATTAATTAATCTATAGCTGACGATAGACTTCAGGCTGGCAAAACCTACTTGATTACAATCCCACTCTCTACCAACATGCAATGTGGGGGCTTAAGGGGCAGAACGCATCGTTTATTTTTATGAGTAATGACCTGCCTAAACAAAACTGTATCTGAAATTCTGCGTGTCAGGGAGTCTGAGTCTAATTTAAATTTTTAAAAGGTGATTTGTTACATAGAAGAGAGTTGGGCACCTTTACTAATTGACTGCAGATCCCTCAGAAATCTATCAGAAGATCCTGGTCTATATTTTGCCCATCCCGGCTGTGGGATGAGCAATGGAGTTCAACGACAACCCTTGAATGGCATTGTTTGGCCTCTTCATTGCCTACATGGCACCACCTTGGGTCTCTGAATTGGGAGGAAGGTGGAATATACTGAAATCAAATAACAAAATCAATAAGTAACTATTTTCTCCCTGATGCCTGGGTCAGGGGTAACTTTCTGGGTCATGTACCACTCCTATCACGTTGCCTTCAATCTTTTCGAGCTGTTTTCCATGCACATGATCTTTGGATGGCCTTGTTGGTTACGACATCGTAGACAACTAATAATGACTACTGAGGCTCCAACTCAGAGCTTGAAAAAGTTATTTTGGACCACAGAGCCCAGAATCCCCATACCCACATAAATCAGTAGAAATGCTAGCTGGAGGACTGTGAATATTGTAGCCACCGGCTCATAGTTCCTTGCCGTGCTTTATTTCGTAAAGCGTGGCTCTCTTGTGGTCTTCCGTCCTTTGTAACCTTTCAGCTGTCTTTCTGATTTCTAAAGGAACCGCCAATACGTTGTGTTTGAAGGGAAGAGCAGGCAGGACGAGAGGGAGACCTTTGACAGAGGCGAGTGTTCCTGCGCCCTGATTCAGATGGATCGTAGCTAAGCAATGCTATCTTTCCTGTTTCGAAAAAACATCTTAATCATATACGATGTATAAAAATCCACGAATGTTAGAGCACGGTAATTGCACAAGAGTTGCCAGCACCCGGCTCTCGATTTGTTTGCTGCAGAAGTCCTGTTTCATTGGCAATCAGGGCTCAAATGCGCTTTCCTTGGGCGGGGGAGGGGGGAATGACTTACTAATGAAGGGGTTGGTGAAAGTAATTGATTTAAACAAAGGCTCAGTGATACAATTTATTGTGATTTAAAATTAGTTTACCATATAAGTCTGGACGCGCATACTCCGATGGGAGCACCAGTGTCAGAACGTGCTAAGGATATCTGACTACCCCAGGAGTTCTACAGAAAAGTATAGACCACAGAATCAGTTCTTTGCCTGGAAAGTCTATAAATTTCTGGGGGACTCAAGTATCTTTATCATGTTCTGGCAAAGCCTTATGGCTACTTTTGTGGGTTGAGAAGACAGCAAAGTCAGTGGTGGCTTTTTGTGTTCTAAAGTGGCAGTTCCAGCTGGCTGTCATCAGTCCCTTTATGCCACCTTAAAAATCCTTTGCTTTTCCTTCCCTCTGTGTTCTTTTTTTCCCTTCCGTTTCAATCATGTCAATCTACATGGCATTCCTTCCAAGTCTTGTAGCTTATCTCTGTCTCTCTGCCTCCTAATATTGTCTAATTTGCCCTCTACGGCCGTTTCTTTCTTCCCTTCTCCTCTCTGCAAAACTCTGCGCGCCCATTGCTCTGCTGCATGGACAAAATTAAGAGATGTCTTCAAAAGCAGTGTGTGATTGGCAAGGCTGCGAGATGGGAGGTCTTGGACTTCAAAGAAGAAGAGGAAAAATTTTTAAAAAAATCCTTGGTGCTCCTAAGCCTTTAGGCACACCCCAAAGAGGAGCACTTTGAATCTCTGAGCGCTCTGAAGTCAAAGAAGGTGTCTGCTTGTCCTAACACAACTTGGCCTCTCTCCCCCTTTGCAAACAAGTTGCCTCTTGTTACATGATTGGTTCCCTAGGAGGTCAACGTGGGCTTCCTTCGCAGGCTGAGTTCTCCAGCCCCGTGCTTAGAAGAAAGAGCGTGGCGGAAGGAAAGACAATTGTGATAGCAGGAAAGACGTCTGTACTTGAGTCTGTGACTCAATCCTTAGTTTGAGTCTGTGACTCAATCCTTAGTTTGTTTTCAAATGGGGAGGAGAGGCGAGGTGGGCACGAACCAAACCACGAACCAGGAATGAAAAGGAAAGACTGGTTTGGTGGTTCGATTTGTTCAAGCCTTTTTTGCTCAAACGAAACAAAGCACTGATTTTTTTTTTTTTTACTGCTCAGCACTTCATTTTTGCTTTGGCGAAAGGGATGCTCCCCCCCCCGGCCCCTTCCCGCTGCCCCTGTCTGACCTCCCTCCCTGGTCCTCCTGCTGCCGCCTCCTCTTCCTCCTCCTCTGGGGCCATCTTTGGAGAACAGCAGCCAGGCTTCCGTTCCAAGGGTCGGGCCTGCTGTCCCTTATCAGCCGATCGGAGAAGGAAGCTGGGCTGCTGCCTCTGAAGAGGATGATGATGATGGCAGAGGCAGAGGAGGCAGAGGGAAAGGGGGCGGGCAGGCGGCAGATGGTGGAGGTGTTCGGTTTGTGTTTCTAGAGTTTGTGGGTGATCATGAACCATGGACCAGTCCAATTCGTTGTTTTTCCAGTTCATGGCTGTCTCTAGAGGAGAAAAGGAAAATCTGGCAGTGACTGTTAGTAAGGCTGTCCCCCTGATAGCTCTGTTATCCTTGATCATGGACATCTCTACGTATTTTCCGGTTCTTAGGATGTTGCGTCTAGACTTAAACCTTGTCCACTCAACCAAGACATGGTCTCACTCTTTCCTTTCTTCCCTGCTCCTCCCACTTAATATCAAACTTTGGGAGGAATCCTTTGCAACTGGAAAGCTAGCTCCTTGCTCTTCTGTTATACCATTTCCCTAAAGTTCAGGAATACGGACTGAAATAGCTATGCTTTTTTGGGTGGCCATTACCGTTGGGGTGGGGGCCGACGGTTCCACCGCAGCCAGTGATTGTGGGATGGGTCGTTCCGATTTTTCTGGAGAACCCAATTCATAATGATACTTTGAGAACTTTCTGAACTGTATGGAAGCTTCTGCAGTCTGCCTTTTTCATTATGTAGCATATATAGGATGAGCTTTTATGAATCGAAGCACATGCCATCATTATTGAGAGGGGAAGCTGTGTTATTTTTTTCTTTAAATGTTCTACTTTGCAGGGATGGGACCTGAGTCACAGAATTCACTGTAAAGTCGTACTTAATTCACACCAGTGGTTTGACTTTTTCCCCCCCACTGACTTGAACTCGACTCTGATCCCACCCACCCGTCCCTTGTTTCTGGAGAATAAAGTCTGTTTTCAGTAGGGATTCAGGTTTGGTCCTTGGTACCAAAGACTCCGCAGGGACGTGGTGCCGCTGCGGGCTAAACCGCAGAAGCCTGTGCTGCAGGGTCAGAAGACCAAGCAGTCGTAAGATCGAATCCATGCAACGGAGCGAGCTCCCGTCACTTGTCCAAGCTCCCGCCAACCTAGCGGTTCGAAAGCATGCAAATGCAAGTAGATCAATAGGGACCACCTTGGTGGGAAGGTAACAGCGTTCCGTGTCTAAGTCGCACTGGCCATGTGACCACGGAATATTGTCTTCGGACAAAATGCTGGCTCTATGGCTTGGAAACGGGGATGAGCACCGCCCTCTAGAGTCGAACACGACTGGACAAAAATTGTCAAGGGGAACCTTTACCTTTACCTTACCAAAGACTCCTGGCTAATTTGTATTTCTTTAATATTTTCCCTCTTTTTTGTGGATCCAGAAACTAAAACCCAGCGGAGGTACAATATTTTCCATGCCATCTGTATTTTCTTTCTCCCATAGGAGCACCTGTCCTTAAAGAAGTATATTGTGGACGTTGTGGTAGAAAGCTCGGTCCCAACAGAACCCTTAAAAGATGGTGAAGAGAGACAGAAGACCAGAAAGAAAGCCAAGAAGCTAAAAGCACGGATGAATTCAAGGTACTGACGTTTTCCTCCCTCTGGCTTTGTGTGTGTGTGTATATAGCTTGTGGCTTTCTTTCACCACCATTCCAGGAGCTTTTTTTTCGTCCTTCAAAAAAAATTGCTACTTTTTTTAAAAAAAAAAAAACCCTTCAAGTTATTTGCTTTAAGAACATCTTGAAAATAACACTGATGAGTCTAATTTATGGCCACTTTCTCTGATTGAGGAAGAAAACCGAGTATTGATCGGGAGCCCTGGCTTTCACCTGTTAAGAGCTTTCCTCGTAATTGGATGCCAGAAGTCTGCCAAAACTGTAGCCTCTCCCGGCATACAATAGTATGTTTAAGTATGTGTAAACCAGGCCTATTTTTCTTCCGAGGTATTGATTTTTAAAATGAAGTATCAAAGAAAATCAATAGTAATCAACAAATAGGAGCCCGTCGGCGGGAGTGTCAAATCCCCAGGCTGGGTTTAATCAATTTTGTTGCTCGCCACAACAAGGAAAAGTTAGAAATATCTTAAAATGGAAAGTGAGTTGTCAGACCTGCAGTTTGTCATTGCCCTTAAAATGTGACATCTGCGCATCAGAATGGAAAGAAGGGACATCATTCTGTCACGAGCGCCTGCGTTTGGCTCTGAGCTGCAGAGTCCCCCCCCCCCGTCAGAGGTTATCTCCACTCCAATATAATCTGTCATTGATATTGTTGTTCCTTAAATGACTTCCTATTTAAAGGATCCTTTCACTTAGTTGAAATCCATTATAAGCAATGAAATATTGGCATCGCTGTTTTTAATTGTCGGAGGGGAGGAGAGGGGCGGGGAGGCAACTGGCTGGGCCGGTGAATCCATTCCGTTGCTTTGTTGTTCTATAGATGCTCATTGGGTTTTAGCAGTTTTATTACGTTGTAATAAAGTTTGTTTTGTAGTCACACAATGGATCTTCTTACTTTTTTTTTATTGCTCTCCACTTTCTGTTTCGTTCTGTTTTCCTTTTTCCAAAACTCTATGGCCATCGTCACCAATAGGGTTCTCATTTACTGTACTGTGCAATAGCTTTTGGATAATTTAGTGTATCTCATTTTATTCGTTGCTACCATGCAGTAAGTCAACTAAAATTGGCTGCAGCATTCCAGAGGCCTTTGCAGTGCATAGGGAGCTGGTTTATGATGAACTGCAACCTTCCCCTGCAGAAGCATTGGACTACAATGCCCATTATCCTGACCAGCATGACTGTTTGGCCGAACAGTTGAGAATTACCGTATTTTTCGCTCCATAAGAGAGGCCTTTGCAGTGCATAGGGAGCTGGTTCATGATGAACTGCAACCTTCCCCTGCAGAAGCATTGGACTTCAATGCCCATTATCCTGACCATCATGACTGTTTGGCCAGACAGCTGAGAATTATGTGACTTGCAGTTCAGCACATCTGTCGGGCACCGAATTGGTTGGGAAAAGTTAATACAGTGCAGTTGTTCCAGCTATTTCTATTGCTTTCTAGTATTTTCAGTGTTATAGTAAGCCTCTGTGCTGCAAGGTTAGAAGACATGTTATAGTAAGCCTTTGTGCTGCAAGGTTAGAAGACCAGCCATCGTAAGATCGAATCCACACGACGGAGTGAGCTCCCGTCGCTTGTCCCAACTCCTGCCAACCTAGCTGTTCGAAAGCATGTAAAAATGCGAGTAGATAAAGAGGTACCACCACAGTGGGAAGGTAAACAGCATTCCGTGTATAGCCATGCTGGCCACTTGACCACGGAAAATGTCTTCAGACAAATGCTGGCTCTACGGCTTGGAGACGGGGATGAGCACCGCGCCCTAGAGTCAGAATGACTGGACTAAATATCAAGGGGAACCTTTACCTTTACCTAAGAAGCAATAGTAGTACGTGAAATGAGTAGATCAAAATTGATGAATGTTGTATCGTCGTCATCATCATTTTTGACTGTTTCATAATATAATAATAATGCTACAATGAGAATATTATTGCTACTAATACTACTGCTAATATTCGGTCTGTTATAATGATAGTTATATTTGAAGCCGTACAGGTAAATAACGTACGCACAGTGTTAGTTGAAGTCTTCCCAGCACTTTCCACGTTTGAAGACCTTTAACATTGTAAGACTATTAAAAAAATTAAAAGCAATGTTATAAGGACTTTTGTGTTGGAGGCTTTTCATGCCTGCTCTTGATTTGAACATGTCTCTTTCCTTGTAATTTTGTTTCTGTTTTTTTGAAAAATGCATTGGGGATCCAATCTTATTAGAAAGTGAGCCCCAAAATTACCCCAGCATTCTTTTAAAACACAGAATAATTCATAGGATCATATGGGCACTGCTTGCGTTGCGTGTTGTCAAGTTGATGTCAGCTTCTGACAACCCCAGTAAGGTTCCTGAGGTGTGTGCGCGCTATTTGAGTGTTTTTTACCTCCCACAGTGAGTTTCCATAGCTGAGCGGGGATTCAGACCCAGGCCCTCTGAGTCCTAGTCTGTCACTTTATCCACTACACTACATTGGTTCATATACTACGTAAAATATTGCATTTATCTACCCATTTCTTGCTCAGTATTTATCTTGCAACTTGGCATTTCTGCAAGTAGCAGTAAATATTACGCATCTTAGGCAGATGGCTTGTACCCCAATGAATTAAAGAGATTGCAATCGATGCAACAATAAGATTCTTGCCTGTTGAACATACTATGTGAAATATGTGATCTGCATCTGAGTGTAGTTCTGGACCCAAGGGAGTAAGCCCCACAGAGCACAGTGGAATTTGCTTTACGATAAACGCACTACAGATTGCACCTCCTGAAATTGTCTAAATTATTGGATTAAGAAACAGACGGAGATTATTAGGTTGAAGCTAGGTAAGGTTTCATATTTAAAGAAATTAATTAGCTGGGGCAAGTGGAAGGTTGAAGAGCAGGACCCGCTCTTAATCCATTTGTAGCTTGAGTTTGGAGTTGGGTTCTCGTCGTAATTCATTTTGGTGAGCATTCGTCGCTGTCACACGTTCTTAATCGTAAGACACGTTATGAGACAAAATGTGCCCACTTTAAGGACTTGGAATATTAAGCATTCTTCAGAAATTATGAAACAGTAAAATATTAAAATTGAAGACAAGCATGTGAATGCACTCAGAAGGGCTTTTATCACCTTCTGAGTTGTTAGATCTTAAATCAAAACATTACCCATAATGGCAGAGGTGAATGAAGGGACAGCCTGTGATCAATGAGATATCTATTCTCTTAAGAATTTTCTTTGGTCTTATTAATAATATTTATAACCTGAAGCCATTAAGCCGGTGCTGATATATAGCAAAGTAAATTATTCCATATTAACATGTATGTGATGCTATCAGAAAAGTGCATCAAGATATAGTGGATTAACGATAACTAAGTTCTCTCTTGCATGCAAATATCGTAGTGGTCATAAGATCATCAGTTTGACATGGCTGTGGCCTTCTATTTCTGACTGTATGTGAAAATCTCCACTTCTTCTTCATGGCCTCTGTGAATGCACACAGGTCTCGACGTTTTTGCCACCCAGACCAACTCGAAATGCAGCAACTACTGCTCTCAATCAGGATGTGGCATGAATTCCCTAGGCGATGCCTTCATGGTAGCTGTGTCAATTTCATGTTGGTTGCTTCGCAGACACTGTCCAGCCGTCTCATCCTCTGTTGTCCCCTTCTCCTCTTGCTTCACACTTTCCTAACATCAAGGTCTTTTCCAGGGAGTCTTCTCTCCTCATGAGATGGCCAAAGTATTGGAGACTCAGCTTCAGGATCTGTCGTTCCAGTGAGCACTCCGGGTTGATTTCCTTTAGAATAGATAGGTTTGGTCTCCTTGCAGTCCAGGGGACTCTCAAGAGCCTCCTCCAGCACCACAATTCAAAGGCATCAATTCTTCGATGGTTAGCCTTCTTTATGGTCTAGCTCTCACTTCCATACATCATGACAGGAAAAACCATTAATTGTCTGAACATTGCCAACTATTAAAAAACATTTTATATGCTGTATATTAATTTGTCAGCCATCTTGGGTGTCGACAGGCAGAAAGATAGGATATAAGCACAAGGATAAATAAATGTTGCCAATAGTTAAAAATAGCATTTTTAAAATATCATGCTTTTTTGGATACCATATGAGCCGAGCACATATATATGGGAAACAGCCACCTAACTTAATTTCCAAATAATGAAATGTGTTTGAATGACTACATAGGAAAGCAGGGTTATATAAGTTAAGGAGGAGCTTACTCTTTGTGTCTTGGGTTATCAAAAAATAAATAAATCAGAAAAAAATTGCTTTCTAGCTAGCAGGAAGAAAAATATGAATTAAACAAGGAAGATAATTAAAGGGGCAAAGGATGGCCCAGGGCGTGTATTTGGCGAAGATAAATATTTGCAGAATGTCCAAACTTGAAAATCAGCTTCCTTGCTTGTCACCCTAATCATGTCATGTCTCTTTCTGAATCCTTCCTGTTCTCCTTGTAGATAAAGGTCAAGCTTTTCATCCTTGTCTTAAAAGCTTTTCATATTTTTTGCCTCGCCCTGCTTACCCACCCGTGACTGTCTGTCTATCTGTCTGGAGTGCTCAGGCTGCTTAGAGGATCTAACAGGTTTGAAGAACAACTAGAAAGAGTCAGTAAGAAGTGCAATTACACGATCTTTTTCTCCTTCACATCAAAGGAGGAAGTTTTAGGTGGGCTCTAATGGATATAAATTGATGTGTTTTAAAAAAGCCTTAGCTGTAGAGGAGATGAGTTGTGGGAAGATCTCACTGCATTTGACAGAAAACAGTGCCAAAGTTTATTAAGTGAAAAGTTGTCCGGGATGTGATGGATATTTCTTTGTGCTATTTTGGTCCCATTGACAGGGAGTCTTAGCTTCTCCAAATGCAGACAGACCCTCAAAAGCAGCAGACCGAGATCTGCTCATTGCCGACGTTTGGTTGAGAAATTATGAACGGCCTGTAGTATTTGTAATTGTCTCCCTCTTCCCTATTAACCAGAAAAGCAATAGGATGTAGTGGTGGTTTGAACATTAAACTGAGACCGAAAGAGATATCAGTTAAAACTCATCCTTTGCAGTGGGTAAACTTCATACATTTATTCCTTCTCGCTGGCTCTTCCTTAACTACATCCCAGGGTAAAAATGAGAAGGGGCGATCACGTAGCACCTGACCTGAATGCTTTAGAAAAAGGGCAGGGTAAAAATGCAATAATAAGGAAATATAAGCTTCCAGTTTTCAGCTATGGTTTGGTCCTACAACAGCATGGAGGATGAAATTCACTTATTGTCCAAAACAAACCAACCAACCCTATATCCTGCTGCTTATTTAAGTAATTAGAAGTGGCTAATGAAGATTGTTAGAAACAAAAGAAACACATTAATAAAGTTGCTGTGAGTCCATAGTACAGTCTGGAACAAAAGTCTCAGCCCTAATTCAAAAGAGAAGAGGCATCTGTAATGCTGAAAGAATGACTCATAAAAGCAAAGCAAAACTCTAAAGAATTGAATATGGTCTCTAATAAAGTCATATTGAAATTACAGGCTCTAGAAAAGGCACTTTCATAAGATTTACACGCGACTTCTGTTTTATCATTTCTTTCTTTTCTGTATGAATATATTTTTTAAAGAAATGGCGCTGTCGAGATTTTCTTTTCCCTGATGGGCTTTGTGTGCAAGAATTGAGAATGCTAAAATTCTGCATTAGCAAGATAAGTTTCATTTTGCCGCGCCTGTGAAAATACGGAGGCACCACCTCTCATGATGGGCTGGTGAAACCACCTCTCGACACAGGCTAACCCAAGCCAAGTTAAGCGGCGTTGATGGCCTCTCGCTCGGGTACTTTGGCATTGGGCCAAGGTAAACGAGAACACTTTTTAATTGTCTGAACAGGTTTGTGCCGTTAATGGCTCCTTGCACTTTCCCTGAAAGTCGAACGGGCTTCCTTTCTGTTGTTGTCGGAGGGGGAAGCAACTTGATTACAACAACTGCGAGCGTCGTGAAGAAGTGTTTGTGAGCCTTGAACATGGAAAAGAATTTTAGATGTTCTTAAAACAGGAATGAATAACATGTAGTGTACCCACTCTTTCTTTTGGGATTTGGCATGCGGATTGGACAGGTGTACTATCTTTTTAAAACCATGTATTTTCATTGCTCGTGACAGAAATAGCTCTTGGTATCAACATGGGTTTAATATTGGACATATATTCATTCCATTTGTTAACATGCTCTATAGCTGATGCTTACAGTAGTTTATAAAAGGTTCAAATGTTTCCGTGGGAATTTACTAAGATATAAATGTAAAAATTTCAAAGAGGCCACTGACTTAAAAAATAAATCCTACGAACATCAACAGCATACCCAGTGCAGTAATATCTAAACACATCAGAATAGGTTCTTTATATAAACCAACATCAGGATTCTAACAAATATATATATATATATATTTTTTTTTCTCTCCTAGGGCAAAGGAATATGAAAGTCTAATGGAAGCCAAAAATCTCTCCTGTGATTCTCCGTACAAAGCAAAGTAAGCATGTGTGGTCCTTGATTTAAATGTCGTAGATGGTTCTTGGATAGACATTGCGTTGTTTTGGACGTCTTGTTTTGTTGTTGTTTTCTCCATGCGTGCGTGGCTTCCCAAAGATTAAGGATGAAGAGTCCCTGCCCCCCCCCAGGTGCTTACAGTCAACAAAACAGAGGCGGGTGAGACAACAAGAAAAGGGGATGTAAATAGCAGGGAGGAGAAGGGTTTGAGCCGCAGGACTCACTATCAAGTTGGACTTAAGTTGCATCAGCGACTCAACTCGGGGTTGTTTTTTTCTCAATGACTCAGACTCGAGTCACGACTCAGAACCCTTAACCCATCCTTCCCTTTCTTCCGGGGAATAGCCTTGTTTTTCATAGGGACTCAAACCCCTGGGGCTTGGGACTCAGGATTCGGACCCAAAGATTTGCCAACATCCTTGGTAAACAGAGCAAGAAAGAGGCAGGAGGCCAATCTCGCTGCCAACATCCTTGGTAAGTCGAGCAAGAAAGAGGCAGGAGGCCAATCTCGGTGACATGATTTTAAGCTTTAAAACAGGCCGGTGTTTTAAAATAATGAGTGTGCTACTTTCCTCCAATATATAGGGGTGGCCCTCCAGATGTTGTGGGACTCCCCAAACCTTGTGCGGCCCAGGTAGCATGCCACATGATTGGGAATTGTGGAGTTTGTAGTCTAGCATCATCGGTGGGGGGCCATGGCGCCACCCTCCCTGCAGTAGGATGTGAGGACTTGGAGGTTTTATGAATGATGTGGGTCGTAAGCTTTTTCCACGAAATCCTAGTTCTCTTGTTGCTTTTGAGTTCCAGAGGACAAATCCTGTTTCCCAGCAGTGGAGAAAGAGCGATTGTACCCTCTTAAGCAGGATATGGAGATTGGCATATCCTGTTTCCTCCTTACCACTTCTGTTTCCCTGTTCATTGGTGGTTGTTTATCCCCCTTAAACCCGGACGGGGCTGAAAGCAGCAGCAACCAACCCGGATGTGAAAGCAGCTCAGTGTAATATAAAAAGAACTGACAGGGTATGTTTTTTTCTTCTTCTGAAGGTCTAAAGGTAGTCTTTAATATCATTGAAAGCTAAGCAGGAGGCAACATCTTAATAGAGTTTTAACAGTATTATGCAATTTCCTTCCCCTGGCAAACTGGCCCTGGATCACTGGTATAAATCTCTCTATCTCAGCTAAGTTCTCTGGAGTTTTGCCAATATATACTGACCGAGGAACTGGCTTCTCTATTTGTAGAAAAGCGCACCATGTGGAGGAAACCAAGTAGGTTCGATCTAAATTTGATCCTGTTGTTTCCACATTTTGAAGGATGTATTCCCTCCCTCCTCCTATTAAGAACATAACAGTGGGCCCCTGCTTGATCAGAACCAATGTGGGTTTTGTCCAGCGTTCTGTTCACACCGTAGATGTTGGTTCCCAGTCTTTTCAGTCTCTTAGGAAGAGAATGATGAGAGAAAGAGCAAAAAGCATGCAAAGTTTCAAATTGCATTCCCCCCCCCCCAAAAAATGTGTGCTTTTTTCTTGGAGACGGTGAGTAAAGAAGCAGCCTTCGTACAGAGGAAGCCAGGAGAACCTGCTTTGGCACCAGTAAGTGCTCAAGAACAGTGGTTCTTAACCTTTTTGAAAGAAACGCCCCCTTGAGCCATTGAGGAAGTTATCATCGCCCCCCCTCCCTGTGGCGATGATATTTTATTTATTTATTTATTTAAGACACTTAAATCCAATGACCCCTGAAAACAAAACCAGGAGAACCTGCTTTAGCACCAGTAAGTGCTCAGTCAAGAAGACAAGGAAATCTGATCTGAGTCCAGTCATTGTCAAGAAAACTAAGCCTTTTTTATTGAAGAGAGGGCTTGATCCCCGGGAAGACGGAGGTCCTCTCAAACCCCTGGTGGTTGCTTCAGGCGTGAACTCCCTAGCTTGAGCCTTTTTCTTTCCAGAGCTGGAGAAGGCTGCCTTTTTGGACTACAACTCCCAGAATTCTTCACCAACATGTTAGCAGCAAGATCTGGCAAGTGTGGTCCAAACACTGCTCTGTTCCTGCCTTCTTGATATTTTTTACAGGCTACTTCTCGTGCAGATTTTTGCCTCACTTGCTTTTGTAAGGGAAACAAACCATCACAGGCTGTTTGTTCCCCCAAACGGTGGTAATGTAGCACTCACGGGTGTACATGTCAAAAGAAGATTTTGACTAAATATTAGGATGAACTTCCTGACATTCATAGCCGTTCAACAGAAAAGTACTGGGTTTTCCTTCATAAGATGATTTTAAACAGTGGTTGGATGGCTCAACTGTCATGGATGATGATGATGATGATGATGATGACATCAGAGTGCAACATTAGTAAAAATATTCAAAGGTTCCTCAAGAAAAACATGGGAAAATGGAAAAACATCTCAATGGCCCATGCTGAAGAAACTGGGGATGTAAATATCAAAAGAGGAATATTTCAGGGGGATTCTTTATCACCTCTGCTGTTTAACATCTCGCTTATCCCCATGTCAATAATTTTAAATAAAAACTGGATGGGGCTACGATATTTCAGAACAAGCAGGAAAAATCAATATATGGATGGCCCGAAACTATACACACAAAGTTCCATGGAGATAGAAATCACTGCTAAGCACAGCGGGAATATTTAGTGAAGATATTTAAATGAAATTTGGAATTGACAAATGTGCAGCTTTTGTCTCTGTTATATAATACCAGCCTGTGTTTTTATAATTGTAATTGATTGCACCTGGTATTTTTGAACAATCATAATATTGCACTCTTGGTGTTTTTATAATTGTTATTGACTGCACCAAGTATTTTTGAACAATCATAATATTGCACTCTACATCAGGCTGCATTCTAATAAAATCATGAATGTACAAATATGCAACACAATTAACTACAACTGTGTGTGTGTGAGAGAGAGAGAGACAGAGACAGAGACAGAGAGTTCAGTACATGAACCTGTACTTCAACATAAAGCTTCTCAAAATAAGCAATGATCAAAAACAAATTAGCTAACTGCTAAAAACCAGCTAAGAGTTTCAAGTGCAATACACTGGTTGCTGACTATTCAAGGATATAGTTGCAGATTTCCTGCTTTGTCAGGGGGTTGGGCTTGATGACCCTTCGTCCCTTCCAGCTTTACAATTTTTGATTCTGTGTCCAAGGAATTCTATCCGGACGAGACAATAAAGTCCTTCCAAAAAAGGCCTCCCCTTCTAAAAATAGAAAGGCTACGTTTTCTTGACAAATGACTGGATTCAGATCAAATGTCCTAAAATCTGACAGATGCTCATAGCAGGCTCATTGAGGTTTTTTAGAAAGAAGGGAATAAGATTGCTTTTTATGAGTTGATTCAGTGTTCAGGTCTGGCTGTGCCAAGAAATTAAGCGGTTCTGTTCCCATCGGAGGAATCTCAGAGAAGGTAATTTTCGATCCTGCCTTAAGGTGGGTAATGGGGAATTTTTAAAAAAATGTATGTGACTCAGAATTGAGACAAGGACTTAAAAAAATAACAATAATAAAGGGGAAATTATAAGGTTAGGACGCAACTTATTCTGAAAAACTGTAGGAATGTATGAGAGCCAGTGTTCATTCTGAGGTTTGTTTTCTTAGTGGAGGGAAAAACTATTCTGAAATACATCCCTCAAGCTCAAACATGTAGTAGTCTTCTGAAAGCCTATAAACCTATATCTGGCTGATTTTTTAAAAAAAGGCAGATCTTTGCTCACAGTGAGAATGTGCACTTGAAAAAAATCAGTTCTAAAATTAATGTAATTTGGTAAAATTAACAGGGGCTCCAACCCAACGTACAGGGCTTATGACTGAAGTTGTGGTAATTTGGGGCTGTCGCAGCTAGAACAGGCCAGTTGGTTTAGAGAAATTTACATAAGTGTTGGTTCTTCTTTGTGGTCTCTGTGAATGCACACTAGTGGGTTTTAGTGTGCTTGCGCAGAATCATAAACATTGTCATTTGGCATTAAAAGGATAATACCAAAAAAAGTACTCGTATTGTTTTTGGTGGCTAATGGAGGTGTAATGAAGCTATATTTTGAAAACAACAAGTAGAAACAGCATTATAATTATTTTTAAAAAATAGCAATATTTCATGTGAACTGCTGGATATTTCAGTGGTTTAGGCATGTGGCTGCAGAGCCAGAGGTTGGGAGTTTGATTTCCCCACTGGGCCTCCTTGGTAGGGAATGTTCTCAGTGATCCATAGGGTCCCTTCCAGATCTGCAGGTCTAAGATGATGATGATGACCTGATTACTTAGAGAGACACTTTTAAGGCCACTTTGGACATTTTGAGCTTCGTTTTCCTGTTTCATACCATTCTACTTTCTATGCTAACATGGGATATTTTAGCCATGAGAAAGGTAGCATTAATGACACGAGTAAAACAACAAATTGCTGGTAAGGAATGAGATGATGCTGCTTGTAAAGAGTTACACAATGAATTACTTACTTAAGAAGTAAGTAGCCAAACTCTGATAGGGTGCTCCGGAAGTTGTTGTCAGATGGGTAGGTTGGTTCAGCAGGCCACAGAATCCACAGGGGCCGATGCAGAGCACAAACCTGTGTCCCACTGTGAGCACATCTTGTGCATTAGATACCACTGGTATGTAAAAGGACATACAGGCTACAGTCCTGTACACAATGGGAGTCAGTCCTGTTGCACAGAGCAGGCCTGATTTCTGAGTGAACACACCTAGAATTAGGCTGATGAGCTGCAATCCTGTTGCGCAGCTCCGTGGGCATAATTCAACCTTATGCAAGTAGGAGAAATTATGGAGAGGTGGAAATAATATTCCTGAAGGACTTCCACTGGTGTCCTGAGCAAAGGTTGCACTTCTAATCCAGTGATCTGATGCGCAATCAAAGTGTGCAGAGCGTGTCAGGGCATAAGCCTGTGTACAGTTCTGCAGGCATAAACCTATGCCAACCTCAATAGGATTTCAGCCACTTCCCTCTTTTCAACAAATTAAGTTTTAAGACATCTCAGAGAAATATTACTGGAACGTAAAATATTTTTCTCGGTTCAATTTTCCTTTCTTAAATTTCTCTTTCTCTTTTCCCCCCTGAAAAAATGGAAGGCTTCAGCGATTAGTCAAAGACCTGACGAAGCAGCTTCAGGTTCAAGACAGTAACAAAGCGTCCGCTCTGGACAGGATTTTGGGAGAGATTTCACGTATCCTGGAAAAAGAGGTAAGGTAAATTTCTTTGGTCATTGCTACAACCCAAAACAATCTGTTTACATGTTAGTGATGTGCTGGGGATGGAGACATCATTTTAAAATTCACCTCTCAAGGTGGTGTGTATAAATCTTTGGAGTGTGAGCTGCTATGTATATATGTGGTCACATCTCATTGATTCACAGAGTTTCTCTGTAAATGCTTCACTTAGTCCTTGTTCAGTGCCTTCATATATATAATAGAAGGGTTATGCATTGCAGAAGAGAAGATGGATTCTATATTGTATTTACTATCATTGTTCTATATGGCACTGTCATTCTATATTGCTTTCCGTGCTTAGAGGTAGAAATACAGACTATTAATTTATTAAACAGAAGAATACATTGAACGACTTGAAGAGTACATACTGCTAGTTTGTACTAAAGTAGCATTTCAGATTCCTTATACTTATTTGTTTCTCACTTTTATTTTAAAAATATTTGTACTACAGATGAAGGGAAGGAAAACCAAAAAAAAAATCATTCATAGAGTTGAGAAACATAATCTGATCTCAGTTAGAACTCCACTAGTAAATGACAGAAAATAATGCAGATGGAGTTAGATTGTTAAAAGGTATTTTTCCAAAATGTAGCAGAAGTAATTTATTTCCTAAGAGGTCAAACATGATCCATTTGTTTCTCTTGTATACATACAGAAAAGTTTTATTTTCACTGTCGGCTCCTATAAAATTGATTGGTTGGGGTCAGAGAAGAATGTTCTTTTTTTCCAAGGAACTTTCCAGCAATAAAGGAATCCCCCTGCAAAATAGGTTTTTCCCCCACCTGCTCTTCAAAATGTTCTGAAGAACTCAAGAAACATTTTCTGGGACCTGAAAGCTAGAAATTTGTTCCATAGAGAACAGAATTTCCAGAATGTATTTTGTGGTTCTGTTTCTAAAGCTTCTATTTCGCCTTTCCAACTTGTCACCCTCAGTATCTCACTACATAAATAGCCTCTTTTTTTCCCAGCAATTTTTTTCTAAAACTATGTTATAGTAAAATGAAAGGAAGCTAATTTTGTCTTTGGTTTTTAGCTATACACCTGCAAGAATATACAGCAAAACGCTCTGTAAAAAAGCATAAAACATGCCAAAGTATAAATTAAAATGAGAACTGCAGAGAACTATCTTTATATCTCCCTCCCATAACTGTATCTCTTAAAAAAAATAGGGTTGGGAGTCATCTTTGAGAGGATAGTTTCCTATGTAGTCTGTCCTCTGATGCCTAGCTCTTTGCTCCCTCTGCTTAAAAGATGATGGAATATAAAGCAAAACCTTCTCATTGCTCTTAGTTTTAGGGAAATGGGACGTTGTACAGGAGAAGGCATTTTAAAGATTACCGTATTTTTCCGTGTATAAAACAACACATTTTCCTAAAATCATTAGAGGAAAAATTGAGGGTTCTTTTATACACAGAAGGAGGTGGAGGCGAAGGAGCAGCTGCGCTCGGTCGCCTCTTGCGTCTGCCCATTGACTCCTGCTGCCGCCGGATGGCCTCCTCCAAGGGGCAGGGGTCAAGACGGCGACGTGAGCCGGAGGTGATCCCTGGCACTGGAGGAGGCGATCGGGCGGCGGGAGAAGGAGGAGACACAGCCACACTGGGCCGCCCCTTGCAGCTACCCATTGACTGCTCCTCTGCCTCCGGCAAGAGTCAAAATTGGGGGTTGTCTTATACATTGGGGGGGGGGTCATATACATGAAAAAAATGGTACTTGTGGCTAGATAGCTCAGTGGTTTCGGTATCTGGTTGCGTAGACAGAGGTTGGGAGTTCAATTCCCCACTGCACTCCTCCTGGGGGAAGAGCCAGCCTGGGTGGCTTTGGGCCAGCTGCACAGTCCCAGGGATCCCCCCCCCAGAAGAAGGGAATGAGAAGCCACTTCTGTCTGTTCTCTACCTGGGAAACCCTGAAAAGGGTCACCATGAGACTGGGCAGCCCACAATACTTACCTATGTATAACTCTGATTTACTGATCTTGCATTTCTCCTATTTCATCTGACGTTGGGAAAACCCTTAACACTTTAAACACTCAGAATCGAAAACTACTGCGTCTTGTTCCAGTTTCACATGAAACAGCTTCTCTGGTTATTGGTTAGAGATGTAGTTAATTCTAAGGATTTTTTTTTAAAAAATCACGACATAGTAACATAAGCTACGTGCAGCTTATCAGCTGCTTTTCAGACATATGTATGCTATTACTGCAAGTAAACAGAATTTAAACAGATAGACTTGACATACAATTCCGCCCCTGCCCTCACATTATTGACCCTGTTTGCTTAATGAAAACACAGCTCCGCAGTTGCTTGAAGCCGGCAGCAAGTCATCCGGCCCTCCCTAATTTAAGTTCCTATCTGCCAAACGGTATAAAATGATGGAAGTTAGAAAGGTAGAATATTCTCTAATCCATGCTGCTGAGTGTAATGTAGTATAATATCAGATCCTGGCAAAACCTGCTCCGGTTCGGGTGCAATGGAATCCAAAATACCACGAGCAATGGAAGAAAAATAAATAGGAGGGCTTGTGGAAGAACGGAACAGAATGGAAAAAAATAACTCTGCTGGGAGTTCAGCAAAAAAACCACAGTGGAACTGCGTTCCTAAGAGGACACGGTAAGGATGTGTCTCGTACCAGAGATTTGCGTGGGAGAAGGACATACTTGGGAGCTAGCCAGCTCCATGGTTGTCCATACTGCCCAGTCTCCAGATGACACCACAGTCGGGAGTAGGCAATTTCGGCAGGCCCAGAGGCCTCCCACGCAAGACCCAATACACCCCCAAATTCCTGTGGTTTTCAGGGTTTGAAAAAAAATTCTTAGAAGAGTCCCCCTGCCCACATCCAGTTGGTTTTATGGGATCTAGGAAGTGACGATAGTGACAAATCTCAACTTAGGGTCCATTTCTGGGCACAGTTCCCTGTGTGTGCGATTCCCTTTCACACAGTTTGCCCCCTGGAGGCATTATCTTCTCCTGCACCAGTATATTCCTCTCCTTCAGTGACCTGAAGTGGGGTGGGATGTCATAGGCAGGGTGTTTCTGTATTTTGATCATCTTTTTATAGAACATGTGCACCCTTCAAGTACACGAAGATGCATCTCTGCTAGACCTGGAAAGCTGTGAGGTGTTTGCCTGTAGGGTTAGCCCTAATACCAAACCAAGTATTGGCTTTCCATGTTCCTTTAGGCTAGGGTGCTCATCCTACAGCCCATTATAGATTTTTGGACCATAACTCCTGTTGGCCCTGCCAATGTTGCCAATGATCAGGGATGACCAGTAATATGAGTTGGGGGGCACAATTTCTCCTCTCCTGATTTAGGTTACTGGATAGCATTTCTTGCATTGATTGATTGATTGATTGGTTTGATTTGATTTGACTTGTATCCCGCCCATCTGGTCTATACGACCACTCTAGGCGGCTTCCAATATAACAAAGACAAGTAATAAAATAACACAAATTACATAAATCTTCAAATGACAATTTTCATTCATTCATTCATTCATTCATTCATTCATTCATTCATTCATTCTTGTAAAGACATTTTCTTCATTCTGTTCCGTGGCAGCTGTTGAGATTCTGTTCATGTTGGTGTAACTAGCATTACACTTATGGAACCGTGGCCGCCACTACACCCAGAGAGTCTGCCTCCTGCAATTGGATTGTACAACCGATTGTGTGGTTCACACAGTTCTGCGGAAGTGCCTTGTGAATAGCACGTCTGCCCTGCAGTGATTTTTTTTCCTGCCCCTTCCACAGCCTTTACATTATGCCTGCAGAGTTACAGAACAGGATTATATTCCTTCCTTGTGTGCTTTCAAGGCCAGGCTGATGCACTCCCTTCTCTTTCCTGTTTCCTGAACTGAGAAGACCAGGCTTTGCCACCCAATCTAACACGCAAAGTAGCATTTGCACAAACCACGGAACACTTCCAACAGGAACAGAAAACTCAATCCAGCCCTGATTTTCAACTTCCAGGCTGGAAACAAACAATCATTTGTCCATAATACAAAGGAACAGAGGTGGTCGCAGTATCTAGAAAATTATACGAATTCCGTTCATCGAGGCTGGACCAGGATTTGCTTGTTGCTACAGATTCTTTTAAGTACTGACCCTTAGGTGCGAGATATCAGCATAAATATGGTTGCCTCTAGAAGTGGTTGCCTTCTTAAATTATTTTCTTTCCCTCCTCTGGATTTGCTATTATTAGGAGTGTTTTATTTACCCTGTCATTGGGGTGTCATGATTCTGCATTTTGCCTCAAACAGTGGTAAGACTGGGCAGGGGGTGGGGGGAGGAACATATTAAAACCAATTGAATATACAAACAATTTTAAAGCTGCCATTTGTTTGGATCATGACATTTTAAAAACTACTTTTGAACAGCTTGTGATAGTTCTATAGCTGAAAGGTTTATTGTGATAGATCTGACCTTATAACAGGACGCTGTTTGACTATAACTCATTTAAGTTGTACACAGAAGACGAACTGTTTCTTAAGCCTCAGGGTGAATAAGGAAAAGCAAACATATGTACAATATTACAAATATCTGTTCTTAATTGCTTCGTTTAAGGTAGGAGTGTGTATATATTTTAACAGGAAAGCACAGATTCTTGCTGTTAACATTGATCTCCATCGGCTAATAGAATAATAGGTATAACTCTTCTCAGGAACTGTTATAAACATGTACTTTTTTTTTTAAGAGCAAGACTGTGGTTTAATCAAATGTGTGTGTTCCCTCCCCCTCTTATCACAAGTAGGTATCTGTCTTCCAGTGGTGGACTTATAAAGAGGGAAGGTTGTATTTCTCATTCTGTCTATAATCAAACCATTGCTAATTGTGCTGCAATACGGTAACCTAAACAAACGTTATTGAATTTTCTTCGCCAATTTGTAGTGAGTCATTTTACTGCAGAGGATGTTTGCCAAACAGCAAAAATAACAGTCCGGGGAGTTGTGTATGTTAATAGCTCTCGTGGAACTATAT